GTATAAGACCTTTCTTGTAGAGGACGACGAGATCTACAATTTCTGTATAAAAGTTTCTCGCTAGCGTCAATAGTTTACGACTAATTTGCAAAAAACTGTTTTTTCGTTTTTCGTCAATAACTCGTAAACTATTAATGCTAGCGACAAACTTTTATACAGAAATTGTAGATCTCGTCGTCCTCTACAAGAAAGGTCGTATACATTTTTCCCGTATGACCAACGGTTTAGGAGTAATTAAGGAAAAACGAAATTTTTTACCAAAAGTTCGCTGTTTCGACGCTGGGATGATCAGATTTTGTCAACATCAGTAAAATGCCAAATAATCATACGTAACTCGTTAAATATCGAAGTTAGAAGGAAAACAACTTTCCTTTGAAGCATTTTTCGCCATTTTGAAAAAACAAAATTTTTTCGTCAGCGTCAATACTTAATTGGATATTTCCTTTTATAGTTTTTAGCACGTAGCTATTTATTATTAGCATTGTTCTTTTCTAAGGTACATAAACTTTTGGGATTGACTGTACAGCCAATACATCCTTAAGAATCGACGTATTATGCTAGGATTTACGCAACGCCCTCGAGAATCGCCAGTTGTACTCGTGTACCTAAGCAACGGTTTAGGTTTTGCTCGATGCTAAATCGGAATCAAAGAAATCTGTCGACGATTCGACAGGTTTCCGCCAAATTCCCTGTTTAAATCCGATATCGCGGAACGGATCGACGGTGCACGTGGCACCAAACCTACCGACGTTCCAAGAAAAGTAGAGAACGCGCGGCGACGACGCGCTCTTATGATTTACGCCAAAGACGTTTATCAGACCGTGGAAAACAATTATCCTGACAACTAACAGACTGCTGGGCATCCATAAATCGTCAGGCACTATGTGCATGCGTTAAGCGCGTGGTAAAAGTGTTTTTCTCGTTCCCGAGCTTATTTTTTCTATATTATTCTCTGGTACGAGAACGTCGGTTCTCATAGGTGCAATAAAATCTATTTATAAGCCGAAGCTCCAGGGATGTTCGAAAAGACATCCGCTATATTTAATGCATATCGAAGAAACCGCGAGGAGGCTGCGAGTATTTTCGTTTGTCAGCCACCGGAATCTTGCCACGGTTTTTTCGTGATAAGATCGCGTGAAAATAAAATGGGCCGGCGACGAAGTAACCGGACCAATTGAATCACAGATGAAGTTGTATTTTACAGCGGGAATTGGTTTTGGCTTACTGTGCAGTTGGCGGCGATCAGAGCGTTTGCACGCGAAACGGGAAATTCTGCGGGCAACGCGGACGTTCGAAAAGCTAAATAATTGATGGATCGCCGCTTACACGGTGAAACGATCGATACCGCCGGGAAACGTAACAGGTGTTCCACGGGCAAAATCGATCACTGTCTTCTTAAGTAACTCGAGAACCAACGTTGTACTTCTGCATTTTTCTTCACGCTTGCTTTTCGTAACATGTTGCTCGATTCTTCTTTCAATGGTACGCGATAATTATAGACAGGATTCTGGTGATATTTTTAGAATCACGGTTTGGGAGCGAGTCGATTTACGTATGAATTAAATGCCCAGAACGCGTATCGTCGGTAATTGATCAATTTCCTGTGAGACGATCGAATCCAATTAATCTCCGACTGCTAATAGCGGCAGGGAATCCGATTCATCATCGTTGAACATATTTCGGAACTGATCAACAGTGAAATTAAGTTGTTATACACGTGTACTTGCTCGGAATTCGACGAAGGTAATGCCAGCCAACTGGAATTCCTTATCATGTCTTCTATCATATCTGATCATATCATTTATCATATCTATTATAACTTTCTTACGACTTGGTCGATTTTCGGAATGATATCGGTTCTAAATTTAAACACTCGCGTTACGTGTCTGGAACGTATCTATTTTTCCGAATTTCCTCTAAATTCGGAAACGACTACCATATGCTATTTACTTTATTCTTAACCCGTGACGCTGTGCGAGCTTCGACGAGTAAGTACATCTAAAAATACATTAAAAGAACGGTCGCGATATAAAGCGAGTTTCAATGATCATAAATAATACAAGAAACTGCGCCCGACCACCGATTTGTCTTCTATTAAACGAACTGAATAAAGTATGGGTTATTTGCGGAGCGTTCGCCATTTTTCAGGGAGCACCACCGAGCAACATCCGATCCATCTATTTCGAGGTGTTATGGAAAATCGAGGGAAGGTCAACGCAGAATTTAAAACGAACCCGCGACGCGCGAGACTTGGCGCTCTCGCCATCTGCCCGATGAACGTAAGACCGTACCTCCTGTTGCGAGTCGATAAAAAATTCGAATCTGCATTCCGTAGATTTGCATACGCTATTAAATAGAAGCTTTATATAAAATGTACGTACCGACTGCGATGGAAGCGGAGACGTTCGATTATCGTAAGATCTATAAGTGGTCCGGGCACCGTTCAATGATCCATAACCAGGAGTCGCGTTGCTACCAACGTGATTACCTTCGGACGACACCGTGTTCTGTAGATCTGCCAGCAGCGCATCTGAAAACAATGATTAAAAACGTGAGCTACGTTAGCAAATACTTAATTACGTGCGTAAGAATTCGTTTCTATTTTCGCGACTTCAAGTTTTGATCGCTTTAACTGCGTTATGATCGTCTCTGTAATTCCTGCCTGTCGCGTCTATACTTAATCGAACAAAAACAATTTGGCTGAAAAACGCGGACGACCCGTTTTTCTGACGACTCGTAATAAAAATCTACCGAGAAACGAGCGATGACGTGAGCGTTTCAGCTAGCTTCGAGATAAGCGTATAAGAAGCGATCCTCGGACGATGAGAAAAGAATCGATCATTTACCGAGACTGAGAAGGTTCGTCTCCGTTTTCTCGGTGTTATAAGCCTCGTAGATATTATCGGCTCCAGTCTGCGACTCACATCCTGCTTCCATCGCGAAGACAAACCACGACACACCCACTTCTTCCGAGAACGTCGAACTTTGCCACGAATTTCCGGTTGAATCAGAGGCGACGCGATGCTTACGCGGATCGAATCGACCGGCAATAACGAAACGCCGCCAATATTTGCCGAGTCCGCGGGATTCCTCGCGATAAAATTTCTTTCTTGGGATGTGACACGCGTGCGTTTGTTTTCGCGACAATGGCGTCACGTGTTTACCGGTAGGTCGACGGAATTTGTACACGCGGCCGTGCGACGGTCGACGAAACGGTACTGATTGTCAATCAAGCTCTCTGTAAACCGTGCCGGCTTCGGAGCCGGAGGACAGGAGCCTGGAGGAGGCAAACCGGCTATGGAGAAGGAGAATGAACGGAAGACGTGGAGGGAGCGTTCCTGCGACAAGGGAAACAGAAGCTGCTGGTACATCTCGCAGTCGCTTTAAGTAAAACGCGGAGACCGAAGTAGGAATCTAAATGCAGAATATAAAAAATTCATACGCGACAGTAAATCGTGACAGTGTAATGATCGTTTTGACAATAACAGTCATAAAAAGACTATCGCACTGTCACGATCGCGACAGGAGATTCGCTGATTCGCACGACAGTCACGACAGCGAAAATCGTAACGATTGTTGTTGCGTGAAAATGTATATCCTTGACCACGTTATTTCGTATGGAGATACTGTTTTTGAAATTATAGAACATGGCCGCTTGTACGAGATTCACTGTTGGCAGGGAGCCTGCCAACGTGCTTTCCTGTGTCTATTTTGCACTTCTGAATCACGCAGTCCATTTGGACATTAATATTGCGCGATGTGCGTAACTCAGTCCTGTCATAACTCTCTGTGAAATTAGACAGAGCGTTAACGACCCTGTGTAATAAATTCTACGAAAGAGTCGTATATAATGTTGAAAATGAGAATGGACTCTCTCCTACTTACGTTCAAACGTGTGAACGAGGTAGATAGGTGATAAGAAATCGATGAGCCGAGTTATGCAGTGCTCATTGTCATTAACGCTTATGCCCATTGGCTTACTTACTTATGTATCGTTCCCAGCGTGCGTGTTTTTGAATGGTTGCCAAACGAGCCGGTGTGATCGGCGATACAGGTCTCATAACGTCGGTCATATCGCTGTATTTTAAACGAGCAACGTAAGATTTAACCGTGGATCAATAAAGTACGTGGAAAATGAAGCCGCGAAGTTCCGCGAACTCTCAGATGAACCTAACTGAATCTAACGATCGCTGGGTACTGATCTTTATTCAGAAGAAACAACAATGATCGCGAGCCGCGTTATGCACAAGGAAAATGTTAAAAATAAATTCCCTCGGTTGCCAATTATGCTTATTTCTAGCTAACGTTGTAGATTCAAGATGACATCTCTCGAGTGTGCGAATAAACAATTGTCTTTGATGACATAACGATGACAGCGCTTCGAGATGCCAAACGAAATCGTGTCGCGTACTACGAGTCTAGGATAAAGATGCATGATACAACAATGAACAGGATCTTTTCCGTACCACTTCAATTATCGTCACGTGCAACTTGATCAGTGTTTGACGATGATCTCGATCGCGGATTATCGATACAAGCCTCGGGATACGTAAGTACGTGCGCCGAGATCGGACGAAGGACTGACAGCACGTGTTTCTCAGGCTGCATCCGCAGAATCTGTGTTACGTGAATTCATCCTCCTCCTTCCTTTGTCCCCGTCGTCTCTCGCTCCCTCGTTCTTCAACCTTGCTACGAAATTCCCCATCTCCGTCGCGCACCTTCGTTTACGCGTAACGCTCATAGGCGAGCGGTTTTCACCTAGATTCGTCGCGACAAACTTTCCAAAAATAACTCCGTCCACCTTCCCACGATTTTCTACCGCGGTTTCTAACTTTTCCGAGCCCAGAGTTCGATCGATCTTTCCCTTCAATCTTTTGATCCACGCAAACGTTGAACCCGGCCAAAAAGTTATGCGCGGCGATCATAAGCGTAGGAAGTCAAATTACGCGCTGGCGTGTGCTCGATATGGACGTGTAAGTGTCCAGATCGAATCAAGGTTCGATCAAGGAAGAGTTGCCTACGCATACGCGTAGATCATTATATGATCTTTGACGGAGCGGTATGCGCGGTAAATAAGCACGATTTCCTGCATCTCTAAAACGAGAATTTACAGTTGCGTTGCAATTGAAAACCCGCATCACTACTTATTTAGATAACAACCATCGCTTCGTAGAAAATATTTCCGAAGACCAATCGCGTCGCTTCCTTACTTTCCAGAGGCATGCAACCATTAATTAAAGTCGTATATCTCCCCCGTGACGATATCTTCTACTGATAGATTAATTCGATTCTAGTATCACAAAACATATAATGCCTATAAATAAATAACTTGGAAACAGCATTTTCAATTGAAACTTATTTCGACGCAGATATCGACTGTCTCACAGATCTGCATAAAAGGATTCCCGATAAATAATGACTTCAATAATTATTTCAGAAAGTTTAGTGTCAAGGCGACCCACATTGTAGGTGAAAGGTATTCCAAAAAAATGATGCGGACTGTTGCTTCATGAGTCATCCTTTCGGACGGAATCGAGTGTGCATTTTAAAAATAATTTCGTAATTACTCTACTAATGAAATCGAAGCCTGCCAGCTATTCAATCGGCCAGCTACTTACTGCGTTAACCTTTGAAAATATGCCAGTAACACGTTTCCGCGAATCGCGGTTCAAGACCGTTGTTCGATGACAAACTAACCTGTCCCAATCTACTCACCCTATCCCTAATATTCCTCTTCCTAAAGTTTCAACTTAAGACCTGTTCTATTTAACATATAAAAATCGGGAATTGCTGAATTCTGTAGTTACACGTGTCTCGAATTTACAATTAGACCGATTAATTTATTCATGTGAAAACGTTTCTAAACTGGGAGAAAAATGACTCCATCCCGAGCAATTGAGCTCAATTTAAAAGTCCGCATTATGTTATCACACAGGGTCGCGTGAACGAGAGACGACGAGAATAGAGATAGCAGATCGATGCAATACTAAATTGTCACGACTCTAAACGTTGGCTGGGGGAAAGAATATCGAAAACAATTTCTAATTCATACATCTGATCGATATTCCAATTACGTATGCAAAGCGGTCGCATGAATCGCGGCATGCATTCGCGATTATCAGAGACAATTTTCTGATTTCCGTTGCGTACGAAACTATTTATAAGTTTGACGAAGAAAATGATTGAGAGATCAAAAAGAAAACGTGGACTCACATCCAGGTGGTGAACCGTTTTTTATGGTAATTTTGTAGGGTCGATAGAGAGCGGTCGATTCTATTTTTCCATACATCGTCCGGTCCATTGCCATTTCTTATACGCCTTTTCACGAACAGTTGGTGGAACACGATCGGTGGACTTCGAATCACATCGAATTACACGGCTTATTTAATCGTATACAAATATGTATATGCACTATTATGTAGCACTTTTATCGCAGCAATGCTTCTCTTTACTATATCGCGAGCGAGACTGCTGTGTGTAGACGATAGATTAGTAGTGGGGACGATGCACACACCAAGCGGCCACTTGTTGAATACCGCTCGTGAATTTTGCACGAAGTCCGCGATTATTATACACTCGATTCACAAAAGGCGATGAATAAAAACGATGTGAATGAATGCTCGCAGTGGAGCGATTCCGCACACTATTTAAATGTACACCGTGAAACGAGCACGATTTACTACCGACTTTATGTGAAAAATCTATAATTAATTTGAACAGAAGTTGTTGCAGTTCGTTGACGTACGGAACAATAGCCGGAGTATCGGCTGTCTGTGGATGCACCGAATTTGACCAAGGGAAAACGAGAAGTTGAAACGTGCAAGTGTATTTCAGGCTCGCCCGCACTCACGGCACAGCATCCCGTCTTGTCCCCCCGGCGGCGGCAATAACAAGAGGACAACGCCGTCGTGAAATCCACTAAAAATACGTAGGATCGTTGGCACGACAGCCAGGAACGAGTTCGCGATATTACACGGATCTTCGTGAGTCTCTTCCGGCAGAATCTACCACGTGCGGTCACGCGTGTTTTCGTATTTTCAAAATTCGTTCCTTTCCACTGGATAAAATTGTTCTGCAACTCTAGAGAACTATTACTGCAGTAATCTTATCACATAATCGATTAAGTCGATGATATGAACTAACGATAGTCGTGATTATAAGTTTAATACGATGATCAGTGGCGGAGATGTAAACGACGTATTCAACATAGAAATTTTCAATTAAAGACTGCTGGGAGCAAACATGAGGTAGATTTAACGGTGACGCAACGAACCATTACCATGAAAATGAAAATGATAAGTTACGTGTGTACATAATTTGCACTTCTCCCGTTCCTCACGTTGCAACACGCTGCCCATATTTAGTAATTAAATCGTGTATAAACCAATCGACTCTTAACTGATTATTCTGTTCGCAATTCAGCAAAAATTGTAAGAAAAGTGTCTGATGAACTACCTAAAGTAACATGAATCTCTGTGCACCTCACAGGTTCTATTGATATAACTTGGATACATAACAACAAATTCTATTTCCTCCTCGGTAAATGAAAGACTGATTATGTATGAAAATGTATGCATTATCTAGAAGCAAATGCATACCGTCGATGTATCGATACATTTAGAATCAATGGAAATCCAGAGAATATGACATACCAATTCTTTGTACCTTTCTATTTCGAAAAGCACAAGAAATAAAATGAAAGTTTTACAAAATGATTAAAAATATTAATAGTGCGATTAAACAGCGGCACGTTAAGAATATTTCAAACGATATATAAAGTTTTGACAGACAGATAAATATGAGTTTGAGGTTACTTAAGGATTTACGTATTTTAAACTCGATCTGCTTACCTAAATCATCCATCTTCATAAAAATCGATCCTGTAAACGTTGTTCCACAAATCAAACACAATTTTTACTAATTTCACAGAAAAACTATGACACCACACGCGAACGCGAGCACAGTTGATTCAGTTCTCCCTCTTAGGCAAAGCAAACATCAAATATGGAGAACCCGGCCCTCGGTTCATAGCTGTCTTTATATGGTTTATTAAACTCGCGTCGAACCAATACCTTTTTTCTATAATTATACTGCTTGTAATATAATTTCGAGGAAATAAATTAAAACCTTTATTTTATCGTATTTTTCTTGTTACATCTTATAAATACATAAGAATAATAAAAGATTGATGGTTTCATTAAGTAAAAATTATTTACATAATTTAGTCTAATACCCATGTCACTACCAAGAAGAAAAATCACCAAATGAGCTAGCCATAAGTTTTTTCTTTTTAATCACAGGTCCTCCACTCGATTCTTCCTTTGCCACCCTAAAAATAGAATAATTAATATTATTCTGCGAATTTACGACCATCTAACATAGTACAACGCGATTTATTATTTACTTCTCTTCTTTGTCAGGTTTTATATATTTCCCTATGCCCGATCGATATACTCTCAATACGTCGTCCTTTTCATTTTTATTGTCCAATTTACTTTTGGCAGCTTCTTGAGCTAATCGCTCGATCTCGGCCGCGCGTTCAGCAGTTAACTGTTCATCTGCTTCTTGAAACGGATCGACGAACACCTGTGCTCTTTGTATTATTATATCTTCTATCGGTCTATCTTTGTTATCTACTTCGACTTTCTCAATAGCGTTCAATGTCTCCAAGCCACCGACTATTTTACCGAAGACAGTGTGCTTGCGATCTAAATGCCTGCACGATCGAAACGTGATGAAACTGAAATGAAATAAAGCGTCAGTCTCTGTGAGATCGACGGTCAACGAAAACGTATCACAAAATATGCACGTACAATTGCGATCCGTTCGTATTCGGTCCAGAATTGGCCATTGATAAAATCCCTCGTCCTTGATGAACTAAATTCGGCTTGAATTCATCCTCGAACGTTTTACCCCAAATGGATTTACCACCGTTACCAGTATTCGTTGGATCGCCTCCTTGTATCTGAATAAACCAATACAAGTATTTCTCTACGTTCAAAACTCGTAGTTTAAATAAAAGATACCTACCATGAAATTTCGTATCGATCTGTGGAATTTCGTGCCATCGTAATAACCATCGTGACAGTGTTTTATAAAGTTCTCGCACGTCTTCGCGACGAGATCGCAATGAAGTTCTAGATTCAGAGAACCAAAATTTGTAACTAATCTCACATATCCTGGAAACATATAAGAGAGAGCAGATGAATAAAATGCCTATGCGAGGATTTTGTATAGATTACCTTTCTTTTTAACTCTCTCGTATCTGACCAAATCTTCTGCGATGACTGCTGCTTGATGCGTAGTTTCTGTCGGCATTACAGTCGACGTAAATCCGGCAGCAACTGCGCCAGTGGAATAGTGTGCCTGCCCGTAAAAGCCCTTATCTTAATTGCCATATTTTCATAAGACAAAAGTATATGACATTAATATACAAACAGCATTAAATTTATCTGCTTTCGGCTTGGAAGCTTCCTGTTTCGATTCTGCTTGCTTGTAATCCCTGTCTAATTCGGCTAATATTTCTTTAGTCTCCATAGACACCGTCTTCAACCTCGCATTTGGATTATTACGTTCCTTTATAGTTTCTGTAAAAAAAGACAATGATCAGAACAGATGAAAAATAATTGCTCTATATAGGTTCGTTACCTTCGTCTTCGACTTTTATATTGTTTTTTATATGATGAAACGTGGATAAATTGAATTTCGTTGCATTGCTTGGATCTTGTATTGTGATAATGTCTTTCCTCGTAAATGGTTGGTCATTTATCAAATCCTTCCAGTTACGTGTTTTTATATTCAACTGTTCCACTGCCTGAGGAAACATGTGACGTGAATTATAGTAAATAACATGAATAGTATTTTTATCAGTACCTCGTATGAAAATACATTTCCAGTCGTTTTGATAGCAACAATATGAGAATGTTTCGTAAATAATTTAAATAGAACTGGACAATGGTACTGATCTTCTACATTCTTAAAAAAGTTCAGTTTTATTAAAGATTTTGGGTCCAGTGGTTTCCCACTAATGGGATTATGTTTAAATCTTTTTATATATTCTAATATTGCTTCCAGTTCGAAGACATTTCCTTGGGAGTCACAGTAAGGATGTTGGAAGGGTTGCAAAGTTAAACAGCAATGATCATAAGGCAAACGACGAAATGTTGTGTCTTCAGAGTTTGCTTCTGAAGTTCCAGATCTTTTCCCACCGTATAATGTTGTCCATTCGGTGTACGTTAAATACCTGAAAATAAATGTAAATGATGAATTAAAACCTAGTCCATGAGCAAAACATTGTTTATCGTCGTAACCCAACTAAGATTCTGATGACTCTTACATTTTGTCCTTTTGATGCTGTCTTTTACCCATTTTGATCTGCTATTATTCAATCTTCTTTCACAAAGAATTATAATAATTACAGCAATAAATAATACTTTTCAAATCAACACAGATTCCACGCAATAAGACAAAATAATACTGTACTATACATTTATTGGGCACACGGAATATATGTAAGAGCATTAAGGTCGATCTACATGAGTTTCGTTCAAATCGGAGAAGTCCTATAAAAATTAAATTATTCAATGAAACGGTCTTATTTTTATTTTTCACTTAAACAAAATTTATTCTCTTAAATTTATTATATCCACTTATTCATGCAAATAAGTTTTAGACATCGAACAATGTGAAATTGCTGATACTGTCGATCGTAATGATTGGAGTTAATTTCAGATCAGGTGTTTAACATGATACATGTATTTTTATCAATTTTTATTTCTTCATCTAGCTCGTTAATGAATGGTCACTTATAAAAATTTTAAGTAGTAATGATAAGAAATTCACAGCCACGCATTACGTATATTTTACAATTAAATTTGATTCTGCTGCAAGCTGTAAAAAACTTTGTTGACATAGTCTAGCCTCTTGATCATTTTTAAGTATGTCAGACAGTATGGAACGAGGTAAAACCGAGTTAATGATACGTAAGGAAAAGGAAGAAGAAGAAGAAATGAAACGGGAACTTCAAGGTATGAAAGATACGTGACGAAGTTAACGTGACTCTCGTTTCTTTTTTATCCCCACGATGTTCCATGCAGTTTTTTATTATGTATCATGATTTTTTAAAGATCTTATAATATTATAAGTATTAAATTTACAGATATGGAAATGTACGAGCCATGGTATACTTACAAGGATATGAAACAGATCTTGGGAGCCATTAACGAGTCCAGGGACATGGCAAACATGTCGAATGATGAAAGAAATGTGGAAAAGGTTGATTAATCTACAATTTACTGAATAGTTCGATCTACTGACAAGTCAATCATTCCTATTTCTTATCATTATTTCCAGAAACTGACACATTCTCCTAATAATTGGACTCCAGAAGCAATATCAAAGTCTCAAATTCAAGAATTAGAAGTACAAGATCAAAATGACGCGACACCACCGATACACTCATATAGAATTAATCGTACATCACCGGTACACGAAAGAATATCGTTTCACGGGTGTAGCAGTCCTAATCTTGCATCCACAGTTGATGATTCTGGGAGCCCTGTGTTCAGAGCGAAAAATTTCGATAACGAGGACACGTACCTCAGATCGCAAGATAATTCAAATACGAGAGACAGCTACTATCATACTACGAATCAAAGTCTCTCGCTAAAATTAAAGAACTCTTTACAAGATTCGGATCCCGTGAATGATCCGGAGACAACGACCATGGACGAGCATTCCGAATCTGAACAGACGTTGGAACGATGGCAAATCAATCCACTCGACTCGTGTGTTGACGAAAACGATGTGCCTTTGCCGGAGCCGAACAGGCCTTTAGTCGAAGATCGCATGCCATTTAGATTGTGCAAAGATGCGCGGACGGCTGAGGAGCTCGAGAAACTATTGCCCGTGTTGAACCGTCACTTGAAACAAACAGCTGAATCGTGGCGTAGTCGGCGTCGTACTACTACCGATGATAAATTTCAGTGGGGGTCACCCATTCAGGTGGGTACCTCCGTACAATCCATTTCTTGCAGATCTTATCATTAATGGATACAAGAGAACATTTCATTTCTTTTCATACACATTTTTAAATCTTCTTCCATACGACTCTGTGCCATGGAAAGTTTAATATTAAAATTACCTACATGCACATGTATTCATTAGATTTATGTTTAGGATGTTGAATGTCCACATGAGAAATTTTTATATAGATTTTTTTCGATCTTTTTCTCGATGAAAGGTACGTACCTATTCGTTGATGTGACATCTCTTTTTGGTATATATATTACTTCCGTTACTTCCTCTAGTGAGTACAACAGTTGCGATACAAAATTCAACTAATACGATACGAATAACTTTGTTGGGGAAATTTGCATATTTTTTATTTGCATATACACGATATTCAAATGATTTTCGAACGAATTATACAGTGGCTTTATATAAAGATCATTGATGTTTCTTATGAAAGTTGTATAGTTGCATTTACACATACGAGTGTATAAGTGTTTATAAGAGAACAGTATAATTAAAACTGTAAACGATAAACCATTTTTTGAATAAATCATATTTCTGTACAAAAAAAACCATGGGCATAGTTTCATTGACTGAGTTCTAATCCTCTTTTAAACACACAGGTGGGACACGCTAAAGATAAGTCGGATAGACAATCGTTTTCAAATATTGAGACTGAACAGAATCAGATGGAATGTACAAACAGACATAATGAACGACCTACTAAACGTACATCGAATTCGATCACTTCCTTCTCCAACGAAGATCAACAAATATCCAAAAAACAGAAAACAGAATTTGACGAAGACGAGGACCGAGCGTTGTGCTCGCATAAGTTAGCATCTACCGTAGAATACGAACAACGTGAAACGTCAAATCGTATTAGCGATCATTCTAATAATAAAGTCGAAAGTTGTGAAACGGAGAACGAGAAAGAATCCCAGGAATGTTCGTCGCCTACGTTAACTTTGCGTCCAAAGAAGATCACCCACCCGAATGTCAGGAAGTTTCTTGAAAGAAGAAAAGACGTAACTAATCCTGTGAAAGGTCTTTCGGATAGACTAAAGAACGAATTAATGACGTTGGAGAAAGTCCAACTTGAGAAACAGATGAAATTGGAAGCCGAAAAAGAAGAGGCTCGCATAAAGGAAATGGAGGAGAGAAATAGAAGAGAAGAGTTCTTTAAGAAACAACTAGAGGAGAGACAGAGTAGGGAGCAGGAAAAGCGAGAACGAGAGAAGCAAAAAGAGAAACAAAGTAAAAACTGGAATGCTAGAATGGAGACGAAATCAAAGAGAACCGTCAGAGAGGAGCTCGACGAAGCACCGAGTTTAAACAGACAAATTGCGATTAGAGCAGCAGGCACTGTAGAGGATAATAGAACGTCTGAGGTAAAGAACTTTTTCATACACTTCCATGAAAATATATGCATGTGCAGGTCTACATAGTCCGCCCTTTTTTCTTCAGGACGACGATATTTTCATTACCGACGAAATAGAAGCTACGGCGAGTGGTCGTATAAGTAATGTCAATTGCCCTATTTGTAACAAATCTTTCCCGAGCGATAGGATAGAGACCCATGCCGCGGAATGTGAACAGTACACGTCGGACAATGAATGCGATGATGATTTATATTTAGTGGAGAGTAAACCATTGATGAACACTGGTCATAGCGTCGTTCATGAATGCAACATTTGTTCCAAGTATAAAACGACTAACGGGATAGACTACGAGGACCACGTTAACAGCTGCTTAGAAAGACAATATGCAGCAAAATCATCAAACGGTAATTATATTGTTCAGTTTTAAGTGAAAGTACATGAAGCAGCGATGTTATAATATGTATGCTTCCAGAGGAACAGAATGAAATTATTAACGTCCCTAACTCACCTATACGCTGTTTCCGACCGATTAGCGAACAGACGAATTCGCATATAGATTACAGGAAGCAGTTTCCCTCGAGCAGTAAGACTCAAGTATATTCCAATAGAAAAAGGAAACGTTAACTACCTCTATGTCAAAAACGAAGGCTGCTGTACATGTATATTTATACATTGGTAAATGATTCTTCGTTGTAAAATGATGCTACTGTCATATCGTTTGAGAATTGAAAAGTATTTGCAGATAGTAATTTTAATCAAATAAGATGAGTTCGTAAACATTTTTCTGTCGTAATAGAACGTTTCGTTTGCATTTATTTTAACATTCCACGGTGCAAACGTAATTTAAGTGTTATTTAAAAACTGATGCGAGTTCGATTACAGTTAATTGCAAGACGAAGAAAAATGAAACTTTTGTTTCTTGTATCAGACGCACACTGCATGCAAATGATTTGAGAAGCTAATGATTATAAAAATGAAAACAGTACGTTTTTACGAGAGCGAAACGTATTTAGCATTTCAAGATTTCAATTTTTGTAGGTCAATTATGAGTATTTATACTGTATAGTGAAATGTATTTTTATACGAGTAGAGTTTCTCTTGTTTGTGAATAAAATGTTATATTTACGAAAATCGTTTTACTTTCCTTCCTGAATAATAAATGCGTGTATTAAAGATTACGGGACTGAAAGATTAAAGATGCAAGTATACAAACGATTGGAATCGTCCTTGCGTTCAACAAGTCCATGTTTTCTCATGATAATGACGATAAACACATGATAATGATAAATAAAGTCGAGCGATAAAAATTAGGAATATATATTACGATCGATCGTATAACTTCAATAATACGTACCTCTAAATTCTCAGGAATATAACGTTTATAGAGATAGATATCTTAGCTAAGAATGTTATATCATTCTTAAGGAAATTCATTGGATTATTTTGTAGCAAGCAACATGAAGATTCTTTGCCAAGTTCTACCGTTCGCATTATTAATTAATAATGCTTTATTCATAACCTTAGACGGTCCATGGACAGGTACTGAATATGCAATTTAATATTAAATATGTTAACTAAACTTTTACCGAATAATTCTTTGATCAATTTTCCTTCACATTTCGTTCAGGTAAAATAACAACCAGTAAACGCGAACACGGTAAGATATTTTACACGTAATTACGTTGTTTCAGTTTTAATATTGTTTAAAAAACTTTTCATTTTAGAAATCACATTTTCTGCGACGGTACCAGGTGGTATTTATACGGATTTAAGCGAAGCACGTATCATACCCGAGAATTTCATCGAAGATAATGATGTGAACAATAGATGGGTTGGTAATCAGTCTGTTTCCTACAGTAGAACCTTCTATGGTAATTATTTTATATATTGTTTTAACATGAAAACGATTTAATACGTGTAAAAGTATGTACCTTGCAGCTAACGATACTCTGTTAAACGCACCGAAGGTGGTACTACTTTTCCATGGGGTAGATACGTTCGCTACGATCCTTTTAAATGATCAGAAAATCGGAGAAACATCCAACATGTTTCTAAGATACACGTTCGATGTAACAAAGCGTTTAAATGTAAGCAGTAACAATAAATTCGTTTTGTACCAGATGACTATGCTATGCTTTTTAGAAGGGGCACAATTTGTTAGAAGTTGCGCTTTCTTCCCCTGTTAAAGTAGCTGAGGATTTGTACAACCGACAAGCGTCGAAATACGTCGTTCCTCCGATATGCGTTCCGGATGATTACAACGGAGAATGTCACGTAAATCATATAAGAAAAATGCAAGCGAGCTTCGCCTGGGACTGGGGTCCGGCTTTCCCATCAATGGGGATTTGGTGCGTTGAAGATCTCTTGATTCATTTGCGAGTACGTTAATTAAAAACCATTTTAGGAAGAGTGTCGAAATCGTACCTGTAAACCACATCCATATCAATGACATTACAACAGATATTCATAAGGAGAATGATTTTTGGAACGTGGTAATCGCGATATCCCTCGAAACCAGCGGACGATCCGCAGATTGTCATATCTCGTCTGTTCTTAAGATCAATGACCAGTCGACTATCTCTAATTCTAGTAGCATCGGTTTAAACCCAAGCAATAGCGGCACGAGAAGTATTATGCTTCTCAAAGTACCTACAGTACGTTCGTATTTACATGGAATACTTTATCAAGGTTTAAGAAACACGTTTAACAAATAATTTACACATAGGATCATGTACGCGAGTGGTGGCCAAATGGATACGGCGATCAAACTCTTTATTCGTTGACCGTAACGGCGAGTACGCTTGCCGACGTGAAGAGTAAAACAGTTCGCGTTGGTTTTAGAACGGTGGAGCTTGTTCAGGAACCTTTGAAGCGAGGATTAAGCTTCTACTTTCGAATAAATGGTGTCCCAATATTTGCGAAGGGTAGTAATTTCATTCCAGCTAGCATCTTTCCCGAGTCGAGCGCTAAAGCAGATACCGTTAGACATTTACTAGCTTCAGCTAAACACGCAAATATGAATATGCTCAGAGTATGGGGCGGCGGTCTCTACGAGTCGGAATTATTTTACGACACGGCTGATGAATATGGAATCATGATTTGGCAGGATTTCATGTTCGCTTGTGGAATGTACCCTACTACAAAAGAATTTCTCGACTCGGTTAAGGAGGAGGTAGTACAAAACGTACAGAGGCTGAAGAACCATCCCAGTATTATTATCTGGGCTGGAAATAATGAGAATGAGGCAGCTTTATACGGCAATTGGTACGGAACCGGTGCTCAACAAATATACAAAACTGATTATGTTAAACTTTACGTGGACGTGATCAAAGAAGAAGTAGAACGATTAGATTCGACTCGACCCTTCGTGGTGTCTAGTCCCAGCAACGGATTGTATACGGAGAAATATAATTACATTGGAGAAGACCCGTATTCAAAGTTCTATGGGGATGGTAAAATATGTTTTCTATTTTAATTAATCTTCATTGATTTAGAAGTTCATTTTCAGTTCATTATTACAACTACTTTAACAATGGATGGGACGTGCACCAATATCCCAGAGTCAGATTCTCGTCTGAATATGGGTTTCAATCATTGCCGTCAATTTACACTATGTTGCCGGTTATGAAAACTATTAACGATTCGAACATAGACGGTAGCTTCCTCAAGCATCGTCAACACTTAGCGTCAGGAACGCAGTACTTGAAGTCTCTTATTTCAAAAAATCTGAACATTCCCGAAACTGAGGATAATCTGAAACAATTTAAACGCTACATATATTTAAGTCAAATTAATCAGGCAGTTTCGGTGAAAGTAGAAACAGAATATTATCGGCAATCGAGGTCGGAATTAAACGAAATTGGAGAAGGAATGACGATGGGTGCTTTGTATTGGCAATTGAACGACGTGTGGCAAGCACCGTCTTGGTCTTCCATAGGTAGCTAGTCAAAAAAGGGTTTGTTCCAATTTTATATCATTGACTAAACCGTTCTTTTAGATTTTAATGGACGTTGGAAAATGCTTCATTACTATGCCATGGAATTCTTTGCACCCATCATAGTTACGTATTATATTAAGAATACGGATCTTTCATTTTACATTGTTTCTGATAAATTACACGCGATTCAAAATGCTACTTTAGAAGTAAATCTTTATATGCTGAACAGCATGAAGCCTGTGCAAACGCACGTTCACCGGAACATAGTTATTGTAAGTTAATAATGAAAATTGTTGAAGCACCAAAAACATTCGATATCTTTTTAATAGGAGGCAAATAAAGCAATTAAAATTCACGACGATGTGCTCAGACGTTCGTGGATATTAAATTCTACGCGTAATGAATGTCAATCGAATTGCATTACAACACTCACCTTAAGAGATAACAGTGGGAGCCTAATAGCACCAAGGAATTACATATATCCAAATGGTGTACTGAAAAATGTTGTATTACCAGCTGCAAATATCTCAGTAAGCTCGTAGCTGAATCTAGAATGGAAGCGTTATTTGTTATCGTTTCAATATAATTTGGTTTTAGGTAAAAGTAAATAATTATCAGTTACCTGGAAGGTATTACAATTATTCAGATATTCAGCTTGAATTGGTAACGGATAATGTAGCTCTTTTCGTGTGGATGGAAGCTGGTAATATCTGCGGTCGTTTCTCAGAGAATGGTTTCCACATGTTCGAAACTCGGAAGAGAATCGTTTTTTTCGCATGCGAATCGATCACGCCAGAGATATTTAGCCAGCATTTGGACATTATTACACTCTCGGATATTTATTAAGAGAACTTTATCTCCGAGGAAAGTATGTCTCGCGATGCAAATAAATTTCGAATCCGATCAGGATCACGAGTATAAGCAGTATAATAGAGACTGTTAGATATATCAGATTTGTCGTCATGGTTTGTTAACTTGTAAATTTTAATCTCGAAAATTAACAATTTAATTACATTGAAGACATTTTATAACAAGATATAATGAAGTTGGCATATCATACAAAACAAAAAAAGATTAGACCGTGTCATTTGTTACTGTATCTTATACACATCTATACACAGTTTTACAATTATTTGTGTTTGTAGCAATAAATACTATCAAAAATTGAACTTATAAATGTAGTAAAAGAGATAAAAGAGATGTGCTTTATGAGAGCTCAAAAATTATTGTAGACTAGTTACTTAAATTAATATAATTGAAACACTATATTTACAAGCGGAAGCCGAAATTTCTTATTATATTATCACAATTTAAATATCGCGTTGTTAGCACGTTAGTGGAAAAAACTGATCAAAATGTAATCCCGATGTACAAGTGGTTCCTTACACATGTGGATATTAGTTTTGAGCGAAAAGCTGAAATTAACTTTCCTAAGGACTAGATAAAGCTAACGCATTACAAAATTATCTTGTTCTTGTAAATTATTCATATGGACAACAAGTTACTCTGCTTTTTATCAGCAGTGTTAGTTTAAATTTCTTTGTATGTAATAAGTTTTAAGAGATTCCTAAAATATATTCTTTAGAAATTGACTAAATTATTGTTTAATTTCTGCATACGGGGGAATAACGTCTTCCGATGGCGAATGCAAATAACGCCGACTTAGATTAATCGCTACCATTATGCAGCATAATAATAAAGGACCAAAAATCGCACCTTCTACTCCCAAGCAAAATATTCCACCCGCTATTGAAAGACCTGTGAGGTATGGATGTCCACCACTGGAATAAGAACGAAGATGTTAGTGCATTCCTGACGTAAAAAAGAATGAGTCGCAATTTGAAATGAGTAGTACCCCTTAATTTCTTTATAGAAATCAGTTACAACGATATTGCAAGGAAGAAAATGGAACATGAAGAATAGGATAGCGATCACGTATCCGCGAGTGAACCAGAGTTCTATCGTAGCTGGAATGCACGCGCAATATGCATCCAAGAATGGCACGGCTCCGAGCATCATTGCGAAAGTCGATGGCAAATAAACTATTTTCACTTGAAACAAATTGTGTATGAACCACGTCCACATCCCAAAGAAAGAAGCAAGTTTGAACGTTGCAGCGAATACTCCAATCACTGCTTCTTGCAATGCATTGGCAAATCTATGAAAAGAATATAAGTGAGTAAGAGTTCCTTGATGGAATATATACACATATAGAACATATAATAATACGAAAGTCAACATACTCAAATCCCTCGATTTGAAGTGCGCTTGTGAGAAAAATTATATTTTATCTTACAGCGAATTATTAATATAATTAATTCAGTTATTAGGGAATTTATAATTTTACCTGTGACAACTAATGGGGCTGAATACCGTGGTGAGTTCGACGGGTTTGTAGGTTTTCTCGCTCGAACTAAGGAGATAGAAGAGCGTCGTGAAAAACACCACCTTGAAGTAAAATAGAACTTTCATTATAACTATCTTAAAAAATATATGCGTATTTGGTGATTGATCACTTACCATGCTGAGGGTAAAGTTAAGTACTGCTGACCCGCTCATCAGTACAATATAAAATAATTCTGTAAACATCGCTAGTATCACAGACATGTTCCCTTTAACTATACTCCATATCGAATCCAGCACAGACATAAAAATTCCAATGTTCTCCTTCACAAAATGTTGTATGCTGGTCATGTTAAATACTTCTGTTGGACGAGAGATACGATACATATTAATGAGTTTGATATTATCTCATGGAGATTCATGAATTTCAAGTGATCTTACGCAATGGTGTTTTGCCAAAACTATCTTTGAAGCTCTCCCATGCTGAATAAGCTGCGGAAATGTCCACAGTGGGGCCAATTAAATCAGAGCTTTCATTGGACATCATCCACGCTTGGTAAAATCTGTCCCAGAGTTCTAAAACTTTTTTCTCCGTCTGCTCAGCTTTCAGTGGATCTAAATCTTTTACTATACTTTTAATCTACACCATACATTACACATTATTATCGCAATATATTTTATAATTACGAGATTATCTAAATATCTTACTCCATCAGAAATAGCGCTTCGACCATACGTATAAGCATTGTCGAATACACTGTTAACTGACTCTTCCCATTGTTCAGGAAGCCAGTCAATGTCTGGATTATTTAAAGATGAATTAAGTATTTCTCCAGTGATTTGAATGAGGTGTATGCCTTCGGTATAAACCTACGAAATACATGACCATCATTTATAATCGTCTGACAATCGTACAATAATAATAATAATTGTACCTGTATCGTTATAAAAATAGAGGTACAAATTATGAATACAAGTAGTCCAAAAATCACAGCAATCGTCACGACCGAATCCACCGAAGCTTTCAAAGCCTTCGTCAGTTTCTCATCGACTATGATTATAACTTTATATAAACCTCTAACGTTAGCTGGTAACAGAGCTTGGTGCCTCTCCATGCACCAGGCCTTTATAATCTCTATTACTACGTTCCATTGACTTTCAATCATCTTCCACAGTCCGAAGTAACTGCCAAGTTTCTTAATTATGTACAAAGCTACGGGGATGCTCAAAATATATATCATCCATCTGTGTTTCCAGAGAAGCATTCCGATGCACGCGTACAGTGCGCCGTACATGTACTTGTCAGTGTCAACCTTATCTTCTGTGTCCACAGACATTTTCAACTCCGTTTTCAATCTTCTTAAAATATAACGATCGCGTAATGTCATGGGCGGGCGTGATTTGTGACTCATTATACTCCTGTTCCCAGCATCTAAGGACATCGATTTCTTTGATAATTTGTTACTCGAACTGATACCACTTGGCACTGCTGAGACAGCAGCAACTTTGTTCTCTTGGCTTTCATCATCTGCGCTCTCTTCTTTTATACTTCCTATCGGCATTTTGCTCTTCAGCGAAGACAACGAATCCTGTTGTGCGTTATTGACAAAGAAAGTATTTGTTAACGCAATGCCTACTGCTTCCATGAACGTCATGTGCTTATCTTCTGCTTCATGGTTTTCCATGATCATCACCACCTCGTAAATAAATCCCATTACGTGCAACAGTTGCAGCGTTATAAATACGATAACTTGATAACCACCGAGCATGTTCGAAATGTACAAACTGATCATGAACCATATGACAAATGAGGAATAACGGAAATGAATAGAATTCTCTGGTGTCCAATAAACGTATAAAGCAGACAAGTATCCAACAAGTGAGATAACAATCTGTAAGGAGAAATAGACATTTAGTGATCGACGTATTCGAGGATACCTTCTGAGCAGCAAAGAATTACCATGTAAGTATTGCATGTTGCTATAAAGAATCCAAAAATAGTGTTAAAAATTAGGCATATCCTCCATATTAGACAGCTTAGTATAGTAGGCGTGTAATGATATACGCCCAAAGATAAAACAGCCAGCGTGAACGTGCTGGCAATATATTTAATGTGCCTCCATAAAAACGATCCTAAATTGTCAGAAGCTTTATCTACTATTTGCACCGGCAGCAGCGTAAATTTGATGATCAGAGGCGTGTGAGATGCCTCGGTTTTCTCGAACCATGATTGTGCAATAGTAGTTAGCGAATATTTGAAAGGGAATAAAACGGAACCGCATAATAGCGCCCAGATTAGAGGTTTCACGAACGGCCTTAATATAAAGAACAGTCCGTATCCCGCGGCTGATATCAGGCACAAAAGGAACAGTGCCACGGCATTATAAATGCCTTGTTTTAAGGCTTTTTCATGACCCGCACTGAAGCCTGACAGCATATTAAACAGGTTATCCATAGGCGATCGAGTACTATCCATTACGTATAGTTATATGTAATCGGTTCTCCTCGGGAGCGGTTATTATTTAATTTTGAATTTACCCACTGCCGTCCACACGGTTTTTAACAGAGATTCTAAATCTATATACGTTCCATTGTAAATGTGATAAAAATGTAGCGTGATAAGGTGTCTAACAAATACTGTGTGGAATACTGTATAGTGGGTATGCAATGTTTATGTAGTATAGTATCCCATATGTGCGTATTCGCGTGTATGTATCTGTAGTATCAATATCAATATCAATCAAATAAAGAGTCAAGGATGATCGTAGAAGAAACTGACAGTTAGATCTATCGTTGGTCGTTAATGATTTGATAAGTTCTGTGTGAATCACTGATCGAAGAAGAAGGACAAGCTGAAGAATATGTATGTATGTACAAACATTAATTTATAATAAGAAAATCCGTGTTTCTACATGCGAAGTTTAAAATGAAATGATTTTATTTATCATTATTGATCAAAAACTATACATCTTAAGTATATATATATATATAAATGAATACATAAATTAAACACATGCTGAAGATACAAATCGGGCGAGATAGTTTCGATATTTTAATTCAGATCAATAAAAAATGACAAAAAGTATCGTAAGAGGCGCCGGAAATATTTGTTTTTTGTTTTATACAGTCTTAATCACCTCCGAATTTATAATTACTCGAAAGCACGAGCGTTCTATCGCGTGTACTTTACACTTGATTCTTGTTTGTAAATTACGAAGATTATCGAAACGCGTTTCGTGAGACAAAGGCATTCGTCGCTTTCAATATGAGTAAAGTAAACTGTAAATGCTTTATCTTTTTACACATAGTCTTTCTCGTTCTTTCTTCTTCATTTTTCTCTCTGCTATATATATTTAAGATCTCACAGAACTGAATAAGTCACCGCCGACACACGTAAAAGTTAAAAATATTCGATTTGGTGAAAAATTCATTACAATTATGTGCGTGTACAAGTACGCTTGTTTCTATCCATGTTTGTTGCAAACCAGCAAGTAGATCTACCGTCACTAATCACAGTATTTTCATCACAAATACGTATGTTAAATGTTAGAAATACAATTTTTTTGGGAGGGTCATTACACGCGGTATTTTAAATCGTATCGGCACAGGTATACGTTTCACTTGTGTGTTTCACAAAACTACTGAACATGCGTTCTTCCTTCTTCCGTTTACCTCGATCCTTTACACCTGCCGGACAACTAACTATTGTGTTAGCACGCTGAGGGAACGAACATTATTTGATAGATCATGTTAACGTTTTGAGAAATAGCTACACGAGAAAAACTGTTTCCAATTATAGAGTTTCCACAGTTTTTTTTTGACGTTCTATCGCGAGTTACGGGATCATCGTCAGTAATCGTGTAGATGTTCTCAGCTTCAATCCTGTACATCATTGACAATCATTTATAATCCAATGAGAAGTAATATATGTTTCATAAGTAGATACCGAAGTACTTCTCGAGACGTGGTCGCGTTAAGTAAAGTTAAGTATTAAAGAGAAAAGGAAATGAACAAATACCCCGTGAGAATCTTACTATCGACACTCGTTGCTTTTGTTTTCTAATAAGATTAATTGTACATTACAATCTTATCACCGAAATTAATGATCGATTCATTGAACTTCAATCGTGGACGAGTTATACTTTTTAGTGCCATCGTCTGGTAAGCTTGCGACGTCGATGATCGTGATGGAACATACCCTTGATTATTGTTCATATCAAGCGAAGACAATTTCGAATTCGAACGATTATACTAGGCTGAGAAACTGAGCAAAATAGTATTCCGATCGTCCCATGTTGTCTATCGTGGTTTAAACGGAAATTCGGGGTATATTTAAGTAAAATACGTTTACCGTAATACGTAGAATTTAGCGAAAATACTATTTCATACCTAGGCTGATTGGAAAGATGTTCTTTTTCGTTAAACATTAAGTCCTAATTACCTATCTTCCGAATATAGAGCCTTCAATCGGTGGTAATAGTATCTCGTTCACGGAACGAGTTAATAGAAAACAATAAATACTTATATTCTTCTTTAATAACGCAAGTTCATTATTTAGTAATAATAAATACGATAAAGTGCACGTGAATGAATCACGTAGACACGTAGACCAATTTATTGTTACACGGATATGTTTCCAGACTCGCCTGTTTGAGGAAACTTGAGAATTTGATAATTGTTCATTTGTGATGTGAGATATTTATCGTCGAATTATTATACCACGAACGAAGGTAGAATTAAGATCTTTTATTGATGCCAATTACAATTAAAATTCTTCTTGAGAGATGGTTAAAATTTCACATTTAATTAAGCACAATTGTAATGGAAATTAAGTAACATATCTTAATTTCGTGATTTGTGCAAAATGAAAGTATCCGATATAATTTCAATATGATCTACTCCTCCATCGTAAACGTTTAAAAACTTTCTCAAAACGTTGAAACTAAATCCTTCGGGCTTATTAAAGAAGTATTGTTCTGTTCTTTTCATTTTTTTTCTATCAGGCATAAAAGAATAATAACAACCGTACGCGTAAATTAGTTTAGAAAAACAGGCAATGATCCGTAGGATAAAAGTACTTAATCGTTCATAAATTACATGATTAATTATTTAGAAACGTATTAAAAAGGCATGATGAAAAGTATATTACAATGACAAGATAATGAAGCTTATAGATCGGTAAATAATTAAATCTAGCTTTACAGCTGATCAGAAAGGAATACTATTGTATGTATAATGTTTTATACTATACGTATTCTGAAGAATTGAACGAACCCTGTAATACCTGACCCTCGGCAATTGAGATAAGCATAGAAAAATAATAGCAGTTTCAATAGAAGTTGTGTGTAATTGTTATATCTCTTAAACTATCTCGAGGCTTCCCTTTCACAAGTCCGGTTATCGAATACTGGGCGGCGTACATTATTATACACGTGAAAGTGTGAACCTTGCCAGGAGATAGGTAATCTCACAGCACTAACGAACATTTATTACGTAAAATAAAAATTGTTCAGTCCGAACTGATACTCTGTCGTTCCCTTGTTGCTCGTTTCTTTCCCCTCCTTTTCCTCTTCCAATGTGTTGATACAACTTAAAAACAACGAAGCGCTATCATCTTATTTACCCACGTTCGGGAAATAAGTCACATCAGATACATATACGGTATCCTCTTGCTGTCCCGTTTTCCTTTTCATCGAACACAAACGCACTGAAATTTGTCCATTTCTTTTTTTGTTTTTTTCTTTTGTAAACGTTTCATGTGACAATCAATTTTTCATCCTGTTATTTTAAAGAACCACACAGTTACACATAAATTTAGTTCTGTATTGTATGCTTCTAAGGTAAAAGCACCATTCAAAAAACACGCAGAGAATTAGTTACTTTTCGTTTGCAACTGCACAATAGTTTGCAGATCGACGATCGTCTTCTCCAACATTTCAAACCAGGAAACGTTAGTTAACGAGCATCGCAGCTGATTCGTACAATTGTTAGTATCGATTAAACTCGGAGAGACGGTACTGATGTTCGTGGGAATATTTTCCGTTTGAATATTGTTCCTCGATATGGTCTCATCGTCCCCGGAATCAGAAGAAGTCACATCGTTCATCTCTGCTTTGTCTTTCTCCTCGACGTTTATGTCGGGAACACTTTTCGGTCCCTCCAAGTCTTTGATCTGTAGATGCAGTTCCTTGTTCGCAGCCTCGCTGTCCTCGCTGACATTGAACTTACGTTTTTTCGTGGGCGCCTCCGTTTCCTGTTGGCTAGACTCTTTCACTTTGATGGCTCTGGTACGAGACAGTAACATTTCTAAAGCCGGTAACAAGCTGCTGGGCGGTTTCAGCCTCGTGCTGCTGCTATAGACAAGAGCCAGTGCTCTCAGATCTCCGGTCAGTCTATGCGCGGATGCTTGAATATCCACTGCTTCCACCATCGCCACCATCGAGCTGACTAAATTGTCGATGAGCAAACAAGTTTGTTCGGTCAGTACATGATTGGCGAGTTTTGGGAAGAAAGTCTTTAAGAACGCGTGGATCGCCGGTATGCCCAACGACGATCTTTCGTCCAATAACACAGCATCCACGTAGTCCACCGTGTAGGAAGAACAAAGAAGAGATGCAATATGTTTTCTGTCTATGTGTGTAGCGGCGTGAACATCTAACCACAGCCTGGGGAACAGAGCCAAGTGCAACGGGACGCCTGTAATCGCAAACGATCAGTTAGAAAATATGTTTACTCGTAGTTTTCGATGAAACACGATTTTTACCTTCGAATCCAAGCATGGCGCTGAGATTGACCAACGTGTCGGTCATGCAATCGTTATTAATCGCTAATCTGCACATTACGTCGATGAGTTCGTGATACGGCAAATAAAACTCGAGCAGAGCGTTATCGTATTCCGGATCTACGCCCTTCGACGCTTCGAGTTGAGAATGTGGCACTGCCATTTGAACCATCGGCCGTGCAGGTCGCGTAGGCATTTTCCCTGGCGGGGTGGATCTCCTTGGAAGATACGGGCCAGGCGGGACAGCGGCGTGAGACTCTTGAAGAGCTGCATGGCAGTGTGAGAGCAACGGGGCTAAAATCGAGATCGCCTCGGCGGGGACGAGCATCACGAGTTCCTTCAATAGATCGATAGCAAGGTTCCTCATATCCGGCGGATTGTACGTGTTCAATAACGTCGCTAATTTTCGTAAAATGTCCGGCCACTCTTTGCAATTTCCTAATATATTTCTCGCATCCGGTCCGTCCCTAGCCGTTCTGATGCATCGCACTAGTTCCACGATGATGGCTATCAGTTCAGCCAAGTCGCCGGCAACGTGACAAGCTGTTGCCTCGTGATACATGATGTGGAGCATGTGAAACGCTTCCAAAGCCATGCTCAATCCTCCGTTGTAAACAACGTAAAGGCGATCGTCGTCCGTCTCAATTAAAATGCTGTAAAACGTTCATATTGCATTCGTCTACAATTCTTAAATGATATATGAAAAATGAAGTGTCGTACCGAAATGCAGAAATAAGCGTAGCCCAACACGATCGTCCGTCCAATCCTTGCAAGTACGAAGACAAGGTTCCCCGCCTAAACGACGCGATCTCTGCTTCCTCTTGTTCTGTCTGATCGGGGTGTCTTGCAACTAACAATTGCATTAATTTAAATAGCTCATCCACAGCCTGTAAGAAAAATTGCATCTATAAGATATAAGTTCTGTAATGGAATAGACTCGAAGTGTGTACAAGACTTACAGTCGAATATTGAGTAGGATGAGGTGTTATATTTTTAAATGCCCACTGAATATTTTGATGTGCAGCTAACTGTCTCGTAAAGGTGCGTGATTGTTGACAGCATAATCGTAGTAAACCGTAGTAAGCAGGTAACATTACTCTATTAAATAATACCACGTCCTGCTCCTCATGATCAGCACTGAAAAACAGATGAAATTGAAATAAAAAAAAAACCCGAGGACTGCGATTCAATCGTTATAGAAGATTATGCGTACAGTATATAATTAAATGCAATATTTTTAGTTATGTGAGGATTATGAAGAATGAGAGCGACATTTTCCGGACAATCGGAACAAACGTGATACCAAAACAGTAGCACAGCTTGTTTATTATGATGCACTGGAATGCTAGGCTCAGAAAGTTTCGGATGAAAAAGTGTCCATAAATCGTTCAGATATTGTCCGAACTGAAAATAAATATTAAACGATAGAGTATCTCCATTTAACAGTGACGTTTAGCATTGTGCGGATATATTTACCATTAATTTTTCCGTCTTGGAGACCACGCAGTACGTGAGTAATGCAAAATAGGCAGTGAGTTTCATTGTACCGTGAGTCTGTATATCAATGTAATGCCTTGCGGGTTGCAACAACCTTAAGAGTGCCGTATATATTTTATGGAGTATCAGAGTAGCCTCCGGCGATAGTTGCAGCTCTCTGGACGTATTGCATCCTAGACCTAGTCTATGAGCGCTACGATATCCCTGTCTGAAATGTGTCGACGGGACTAGCGACACGAGAAGGAAAGCAGCTGCAGAGCGAACCCTTTGATTCGAATGCTCCAACAGAAAATGTTGCAGCCACGTATCCAATCCTTGTAACACCCAAGCGTGAGCGAGTTTACTCCTTGTCACGGCCAGAGCTAGCCATTCTAACGCTCCGTGTGGAGCCACTCTAGCCGCTTCCCAAACTCTCCCCAATATCAATTGAGTCATACAAGGTAGTCCGCTTAATCCCGAGCTCTCGGTTAACAGCGTGAGAAGCTTGAAGAACGGTTGACAGACATCCATATGCTTAGTTATAGCTTGAAATATCATTGTTACGATGTGTATGGCTAGCCTGTCGTTCCAACGGCATAACGATTGTATCAAGTTTCGTGTTTGATTCAGATTGATAACGTCCCGCGTCTGTTGATACAAAAACGGGAACCCTTTGCCACCTGCTACCGCGCTCAGATCCACCGGGGACAGTGCTAGTCTGTAATAAGAGCATGATGCAGTATTTCTTTTCATCAAATAATTAATCATTTAATTACCTGTGATCGGGTCCTCTGCTGCGTTCGACCAAAGTTGCTATTAACGTGATCATTTTGTCCAAGGAAGCTGGTCTCAATTTCTCAGTTGGCATAGCGACTATTTCCTCTTCCTCTTCCTCTTCGCTGACAGCGTCAACGAATTCGTGTGTCTTGTGCCCGAGATAAAAATTGACCATAGTGGATATGGCTTGCACCCTTATCAGAAACAGCGTCTCCTCCTCGCCCATTTTACTAAATTCATATAAAAAACTAAAATATTCCGTAAGATGTTTCAAATGTTGTTTCGCGTGTTCCATAAGGGAGAGGAGCATCCTCACGAATCTCGTCACGCACGATCTCGTGCCGACAGTGTTCACGTCGTTCTCCTCGTCGCAAAGAAGGTATAAAGGTGCTTGAGTAGCGCGCAGTCGTTGTATCACATGAATGCATAGCCTTTGGAACATTTGTCTAACCATCTGATTAGGGCACTTGACTAGAATCTGAATCGGCCACCACGAGTCTCCAGCCATCTTCTCGAGAAATCTGGCGCACGCACCGGCCGAACCGTTAAACTGTTTCGTCAACAATTCTACCCATTGCACCATGGTCGGTTTCTCCTTGGCATGGATAAACGTTTCCATAAAAAACGACGTCGAGAGATCCGCTGACATCTCCGTTATATCGGGCTGCACGGAGAGCAACGTTTGCGGTATGTAACCGCATATTTGCCACATAAACGTGAAGTACGTGTGTTCAAATATATTCTTGTCCTGGAGGAAATGCATATTGTCCTGCCATATCCAATCCTCGAGTTCCTTGTTCAATTCTAACGGTGGTAATTTATTGGTAGTCTTGTGAACGAACGTAGAGGACTGCCGCCCGTTCGGGCTGGAAACAGTAGCTTCCTCTTCCTTCGCTTGATCACCAGGGTCAGCGCACCATTCGTAGAAGAGCATGTACGCCGAATTCGTTTTCTCGAAGCTCAAGTCCATGAACTTGTCCGTGACGGTATCGTACGTTTTACTTGTCATCTCTCCGCCGAAACACTCGGCTGCTATTTGATTCGGATCGAAGGGTTTCACTTCCGCGTCATTAAATAAAAACCATTTATCCTTGTTTGGCGATGTGCGATCTCTGATGAAACTATAGTAATGACCACCGTCGGCCGTGCCGGTATGGACCGTGACACCTATCAAATCGTATTGATAATGTTCTCTTTCCCCGTCGTCGTCGTCGTTTTCTAATCCGGATTGACAATCGTTTTCCGATTTCCTCTTCTCGGATGCTTTCTTCTCTTCTTGGTAATGCTGCGGCATAAGTTTTTTCTCGACGTACCCGGACATGTCCAATCTCAGTGGAAAACTAAAATGCGTGTTCACCTTCTCCTTTAGCATGGTTCCCATATTGAACGTGTATCGCATCGTGTTGAAGCACAATATGTGAGGCAACTTTTTGAAACATGCTCTCTTCTCAGCTCTCGCTTTCTTACCGCATTGAGAACACGTATACATATTGTCTCCTTCCAAAGTATCCTTGACCGTGACTTCGTCCAAACTTTCGTAAAGATTCCTCATGTCAGCCACCTGGCAACGCACAGTGTAAAACTCCTCGAGCGTCCTACTAACATGTTCACAGTCCAACGACACAACATTGTTAGATATCACACCGCAGAACAGCGTCTTCACCAAGTTCTTTAGATCCGACGTCATCTCTTCTAATTTTGAAACAAGATCTATAAAAAATTCAGCCATATCTTTTTGCTCTCCGGTGTTGAGGGGCTCGTGATTCATCGTGTACACGCGACAGAAGCTGCGGGGATTGTACGCTTTCCTCTCGGACTCTAACAGGTACGCGAACATCCTCTGCAGCTCTCTTAACGTGAGCTGATGCTTGTTCGCTCTGTTGCAATCGGCGCCTAATATTGAGACTCGCGCTTGTGGCATCATATATAAGTGCTGCATGCAGCTGGCCATGTAACAAGTGGCACCTAAGTTGGTCAGGCCTACGTAGCCGCAATCGGAACGGCCATCTTCGTGCGGCCAGTAGTCCCACGGGTACGGAGAATGCGGCCCAGGCTTGTGCTGAGCCAACAATTTTTCGTGAAGAATTCTATAATTGTCGGGAGCTCCTTTCACGAGTTCGACCAGAAGATCGAACGCCGCGGATCTGGAAACTTGGCTCTTACATTTCGGCACATACTTCGATCGTGGATTCGGTAACGCGAACAGAAAATCGAACACTTCGTGCAGTAAGTTCTGACCGATTTTTCCTTGCTTGCAAGGCGGATTGTGAGTCATAATGTTGCAAGTTAAATTTAATAATCCGACCAGACCATCGTCTTCCACCGTATTGTGCCGCGTCTCGAGGTGATCTCTGTTTAAAACCGAGTCGATCACTCTTATCGCCAAAGCCTCCAGATCTATCGTTAGATTGGAATCGTCCGAGCCTTCTTTAATAACTTCTTCGGGAAGGGAGTCGACTAATCGGCAAATGAGCCAAAAGTAATCTCTGCAAGCAGGTCCGTACGGTTCTTTTCCATCGTCGAGTACTGGATGTAAGTGCAACGGTAAATCCGGTTTCCGATGAGACGGCTGCATCGCTTCCGCGATATCAAGATGCTCCAACAGCGTATTTAGCATCGGTACGATCAAGCTGGGAATACCAGGATTGTCATCCTCGGATCCTGTTGTTCCTAAACACAATCTGTATAGAGCCGTGCAAACTTCTCTTCTCACGGCTGGCTCGGGATCTTCCAATACCAGTCTTCGTAGCCAGGTTCTTCCGAAAGGTTCCGGTCCTGAGAACAGATACTGTTTAACCGTTTCATCGCTGTGCACCCAACAGACTAACAAAGCCATCGTGTAATGTATAACTTGCGATCTTCCAAAGAGCCCTGTCTTATAATGGTTCGGATCTCTAGGCAAGGATGCTTCGTTCAATATATTTGTTATTCGGGACATAACAGCTTCGACGTTCATCATCGAGAGCATCGCTTCGCTTAACTTAGGTACGAGCAGCTTATCCGCTTTACTTCGTTTCTTCTGTTCTTTGATCACGCCCAGATAACACAGTTGCTTCAGCAAACTAGCGAGACAGTCCTGCTGCCATTCGCTGCCGTCGCCTTGTTCCAAACATCCGGACATAAAAATATCGAACAAATGACGCAAACCTCCGTGCTGAACGAACAACGTGGACCAAGCCACGTCTCTCTCCTTGTCCTCGTGATTATCGTCCGCGTCGCCGTCGCCCTCGGACGCGGTCGACGCGACGTTCACGACGGAAGGCTGACTCGTTGTACTACGTCTACTTAAAGACTCTACTATATATAAAGAATACATGAGTTTCTGAGGGCTAGCAGGATCTAACAACTCAGGCAGGTTTGCTTCTCCCAACTTTTGGAATCCTTTCAACAATGTTGGACTAGTTGGTAGCAGAGTCAACGTGTCCCAAACCCTCCTGGAAAGTACTTGTGCCTTCGTATGATGAATTTCTTGACCACCTTTAACGACAGTTTTCATAGCGCTCAACGTTCTCATCAACGTGAACAGCTGTTCGAAATACTGCGGTCGTAACAGCAATAAAGTCGGCAGAGAGTCTCGAGGAGGTGGCGGTAAAAGAGATGGCGAATCAATGTCTCGTTTGTTGCACCTGCCAGTACCGTTACTACGACTAGCGCCGGGAGATATGAACACTAATTGACCGTCTTTGAATCCCATTTCTTGCAACGTTTTTTCATCAAAATCGATTGTTAATTCCTGGCCTTGGGTGATCATTCTAATCGGTCCGTCGGTCAATAACGAACCCAGCACCGAACCATTGTTCTGACTCGAATTCGTAGTAGACATCGATTTCTCTTGATTGTTCTGCGTGTCGTCCCACCATTTAGCGACTTCGGCTCTCAAGTCAGCTACGTAATCGGTACTAAGGAGAGTAAAACTCGTCTTCTCAGGGATCCCGGCTGGTTGCACGAATATTCTTATCTGTTGCCCCTTGTCCGAAGTGTTCATAGCCACGTGGCTACCAGCGCCTCTGCCTTCTAATATCCAACGACGTAAATGATACGCGTACCGTTTTCTAAACGCTTCTAAGTGCGTCCTTAATAGTAACAAAGCTCTTTGTATGCAACGCAAGCTGGCCTCTTCGTTCGTTTCCAAATCGGCACTAGCCGCAGCGAGATGCGTCATGCATTGCGAAACGAATTCAGCTTCTTGAGTCAGCTGTCTGGACATGTAATATCCGTTCAAATACTGAATAGCTGCCATACTGACGTCCGTACTTTTGGCTTTTAATGCGATTCTCCAAAGGAAGTCCATACCAACTGAATCCACGTCTCTCAAAGGTCTGTCTAAATGCGCGGCAGCTAAACGGGCCAGATTGCACAACTGCTGGAATAGACTGAGGCCTGTCATACTGATAGTCTCCGGCGGCAAACTCGGTAGTTTACGCATACATAAATGTTTAAGGGTGTCCATCCCGAGCGCATGCTGCTCCGTCGATTTCGCTTGGCTGAGGAGCCAGCTGAAGAGCTCGTCTGCACACGTCGGATCTTGCGACAAACACTGCCACAATATGTCGACTTGTTCCAGACTTAGGCGAAAACAGTCGGGCGAGCCTAGCGGTGAAAAAATAGACGATAAAAACTGTAGTCTAACTTGTATTTCCGTTTGATGGGAATACAAGCCGTTCTTCGATCCCGTGCTGGTGTACGCCTTCAGATTGTTAAAGAAATGTTTCATCATTCCACGCTCGCGATCGGCCCACGTCGTTATCGTGTGTGCGTCCATCGCGCCGAACTGTTGAAAACTGGCAAGCAGTTTCGGTAACAATCTTAACGAGACGACCACAGAACGGTTGGTCGCTAGATTCTCTAAGCACCCTTCAATGAACTTCATGGGTATCAATCGATCGACGTTGAAGCAAAGGAGATTGCATAGAGCTTTCTCAGCTTCTAACGCCAGACCCTCGCCTAACTGACCGATTTTATCGTCTTGCAACAGATCCCACAGCAGCGTGTTCCCAGGTTTGCACACGGTCTCCAAGTTGAACTGAGAATTGACGCGTGTAACTGTTTGACGAATACTTCTGACTTGAGGAAGACGGCAAACTGATCGCCTGATCGTCATTGTCGGATGAGAGTGATGAGGATGATACGCTTGCATTTGTATAGCTGTTAAATGACGGGCGGCTAATTGGGCTAACTCTTCTTCGCAACCGCTCTCTTCTCCATCGAAATCTGCCATGTTCTTCTCGCTTTTATTAGATATTCTACTACTATACGATCCCTCTTCGTCCGAAAGCATCTCGTCCAAACCCGACGGTAAAAACGTAGGTCCACTCGCGTGCACCAAACCGGCAAGCTCCGATATAACGGCGCCTGGTCCGTCTGCCGCTGCGAGGACACCAGCTACATCGCTGTCATCTTCATCGTGCGAAGTATCCGCGGAATCAGCAGCCCGATCCACGTTATGACCAACTAACGACATATATTTATTCTTATTAGCTCTTCTTAGAAGCGCTGCGGTTGTTGGAACTTGTTGATCGCTCGGATCCAACGCCATTGCTTGTTGTTTCACGCGATCTAGCGCGTCGATATCTTTCGGATCGTCCATAGAGACTAATCCACTAGTGTCCAAAGTACTATTTAATACATCTTCCGGTCTATATTTCATATCCAACATTAAATCTTTAGTTTTCATGTTACTCTCTTCGTTGACGATACCTTCCAACGTCTTATCTACAGAAGCTAACGAACGTTTCTGCGGTTTCTTCCGTTTTCTCAACACTTTCCTTTTTCTCTTCTCCACTGCGACCGTTTCCTCCGCGTTAGACTTTTCCGTATCCGCCTCCGCGTCTGAACTACTCTGTTTCTCTTTTATATCGTCTTGTATACTGCACGTAGAATCCTTCCGCGACTCGACGAGACACTCTGACTTTTCTATCGCGGAATCATCTCCTTCGGTTAAACTTGTTTGTACAATCGCTACGCCTACACTTTTTTCTTTATATGGACCTGTTCAGATTGGTATAACATGTTAACATTATATAACTATTTACATGTTTAAAAAGAAGATATTACGGTTTATATTACCTTCTCCATCGCTACTATCGCCTCGTGCTTGTTTGCGCGGCGACGGTCCTTCGGATGGCGCAGGACTCGGCTCTTCCTCGTCTTCGTCCGGACTGCTGCCATCCATTCCACTAGGATCGCTAGTACTACTACCACCGATACCGCTATTGCCTCTCAAAATTTCTCTATTCTTTATCGATAAACCTCTTGGGTAACCTGAACCACCTGCTGTCCAAATAAATTTTATCAAAGCAGATGCCAGGAATAAACTCTGTTCTGTGTGATCCTTTGGCTCTAATTTTCCTAACAAAGAATACAAATGTAAAACCGGGGTCGGAGCCAAATGTTTTACTAAGGGTGCCAATAAATCATATACTGGACGACCGCAGTGTTTCAATTGTGCTGCTTGCCACATGGTGTCCATGTCCGAGCACGTTATTCTGCCTTCCATGGCTAAGAACCCTAACACAATGTGGCTTTGTTTAATCACTTCTACATGTAAATTTGGTCCGAATATATGCGCTATTATATTGTTTTCTGTCAGCCAAGCAGCCAACGCGTGGCCAACTTGCTCTACTTCAGCGACAGTCTCGCTATTGCAGAGTTCATTGAACGCAGTGATATGAGCGTTTATCTGAGCTATCCCGGCTAGTCTCATGGTCAAAGTCGTACTGGTAAAATATTTAAACGCCAGATCCAGTCCGTCACGATCGAAACTTGGTAGAACGGCATCTATAGGATCCTTGACGGCGCTCCACATGAAATCTACGTACGAACAGTTTATTAATTCACGGTTAAAGGGGCCATCTTCTGTCGCTATGTTTATTTGAAAATTTACCTGCCATTGTTCTAACTGCTTGTGTGCGTAATTCTTTGTCTGCTAAGCGGCACATGTATTTCATGACTCGACTGCGTAATGGGATAAACAGTTGAATAACGCTACCGTAGTTCAACCAAAGTTTCAAATTACAAATCACTGCGACCATCGAGTGCGCGAGGCTAACGGGCAACGTGTTTTCCATATCGAAACAAGAAGACATTAAATTGAAACCATCATCATGGCAGAATATGGAAACTGCTCTAATTAAAGGAGCTGGCACTTCTGGATCGTGAGGCTCGCAATATCCTCCTTCATCCTTTAAAATGATAAGAAATAATGTATAAGAATAGATTTGAAGGAACAGGTTTTTTATAACAACGTACTTACTTTTACTGGAGCTAAGGGATTGATCACACCACCATGCTTCATTGCAATATAAAGAGGAAAATTTAATAAAAATATCTTTGAAAGGAGATGAAACAATTTTTCCCTATCTTGCTGAGACCAGTTTTGAGTTGCTTGCGTTTCGGCTTGTGCAAAATCTGTGTTTTCTATTTTAGCATCGTCTATTTTTTCTTCTTTCTTTTCATCTTTGGATGGTGCTTTTTCCACATTTGTCTGGCCATTTTGTTGGATAATTTGTAATTGTTGCAACGTGCATAATACGACGCTCTGAGTGAGCCGTATGAAACGATCGAAATTCTTTATTTCTCGATAACAGCACATACATTGTCTACAAAAAAGACAGAAGTGGCATTGAAATAAACGTAAGAAAATTTTGTAGGATCTCTAAGATGTCATAAAAAATGGAATCAGACCTTTGTACCCATTGATTAACATAATGTAACGTGATGTCCACATCCGAAATGCAAAGTGTTGCCAAACCATCTTCTTCCTTCGACCTTTCATCATCTAAACGTAAATTGTAAATCCCAAGTGAAGAATACATAGAAATTGAAATGAAATCGTTTTAGACTAGGTCAACGCGAGAGAATCTTACTACATTGGCACGGTCTTTTATTCTTTCGATCGCACATAACATTCCATGTACTTCAACGTGTCGTACAATTTTTCTATTAATTACGACTTCGAGAATATATGATATTAAAAAAATTGTTTATTTCATACATGTAAGATTGAAACGTAGTTATGCGTCAGTCAGCAGAACTTAAAATCCAAACGGTAAGGTTATACCCTCTGATATTGCAAACGAATCTCTGAACTACGAAAAATCAAGGCTAAACAGGGGTTCAATCGATCCTCCGCAACAAATTGTTCCCAAATCGCAATTACTAAGCTGTTACCGAGATGGGCGAGAACGAAAAGTGCAACATGCAGAATACTACGGTAGATAGGTTAACGTGAAAGGTATTGTACACATTTTGCTTACAGGAGAGCAGAAGGTCGTGAAAGTCAACACATACATCGCACATGGTTTTCTCCCTTTAGCCTCCTAAAGGCTCTTAATCACGTTAAGTTCATCACTCAACTTCACCACCATCCATCCCAAAAGTTGGTAATATTATTAAACATTTGTATTCTTGATTATCCTCGACACTTGATTAATTCGTTAGTCACCATATTGCTTTTTTACACAGCTGCATTCACTTGCCGCTCACTTCAGATGAGCAACAGTAAATAGTATATATGCATATACTAAACTATACTTATACATATACATAGATTCAACAATTCAACCGTATACCGCCGTCAGTTGAGAAATAGTTAAATACTAAAACTCAGATCCTTAAGTTTCACTTACGAGATTTAAGGAATTTCTTTTTCATTATTCCTCAACCACCTAAAAGACTGGCCTGTCGCACGAGCCACGTGTCCCGTGAGAGTTGACCATGTACGATGTATACAAAAGATTAACCATGATGTGTTCAATATATAAATAATAATAATTTATGACAGATTTCTTAAATATTAAATATACTGCTGTATTTTCTTCGAAGGACTTAATGAGACAAGAACGAGCAATGTGTTTTAAAGTACCTACGTATGTAGCTCGATCTTGATGTCATTGTATTTTAATAATTAACAGAAGAATTTTATCACTTAATTAAACGATGACGGAAATAGATCTCAAGGAACCCAATGAGCTTAATACGGAGTCCGTTGAGGACATTGTCTCGGATTCTTGTAAAAATTGTGGAGACGTGTGTGATCCTTATAACAAACCAGCACTATGCTGTATCGAATGTTCAGTAAAAATTCATATCGATTGTTTAAAACGAGGCAGCGTCCCAGTATCATTCGTAGGGGACGTATTCTTCGATTTAACTTGTCCCCAGTGCAGTCCCTTTGACGATGAAATAGTAACGCGAAATAGGATGCCTTGGCTCAACGTAATCGTATTGACATTATATAATTTACGTGAGAAGTCAAGTGGTATCAGTAAAAAGGGATACTTTCATTGGAAGTCTGATATCAGTGCATTCGTCGAGCGTAACTGGGATTATTTATTCAAGAAAACAGTGTAAGCTTCGTTCGATAAGTTACAGCGAACAGAAAGCTTAGAGACACCTGACTTACTGTTTCTGTTTCCAGTAAAAGAAAGAAGAATTGGATTGGTACGATATCTGGGACTCTTTCACATTATAGTGGAATCTTTTTTAAATCAGGAACCACGGAATTAGAGGAATCTGGATGGTGGAGGCTGATAGACAATGATCCACCTGAAGTTCTTATTGCTAAAAGTACCATAATGTTTTTAGTACAATGCAGTTACAAGATGTTCGAGTATTAATAACTCTGATTAACAGATGAAAGAATGATATTGGATCGCAAGAAGCAAATTGGTAGTCAGGCAAAAGTAGGAGCAAATAAATCACAGAGTAGCCCAAATCGATCTGAGTCAAGTATTTCTGTCGGGGAGGACAACAGTTGTACTGGATCAGCAAGGAATGAAGAATATTCAACGTATTCTCAAGCTTATGTTCAGCCTGACAAGACTTTATTCGATCTTCTATTGGAGGAAGATGAATTAAACAGTATGCAATCATGGACCTTAAATAAAATGTCTGATAACATTGTCGGGATATTAGCATCGTTTGATTCTAGATATGGAGATCGAAGATGACATGATCTCTAACGAACAAAGTGACACTCCATCTCTGTCTGATCTAATAAGAGACTGCCAGTATCAAACTAATAATTTCCATTTTTCGCAATTACTGGATGATTTCACGTCTGAGTGGACATCCACTATTACGGACAATCCTGGTATCGAAACGAAACGGATGAACGAAGAGGATGAAGAAGGGGATGACGAAGAGGAAAAAGAAATTTATGAAGAGAATGACCAATACGAAGACGACAGTACCGATACTTACAGTTCCGCTCAAGAACAACCCCCTGTGTCTCTGTTTAAAACCACGCAACGCCGCCCGTGGCCTTGGCAAAGGAATCCTGTTATCGGTAAGCATTTCAACTCTATCATACAACTGACGATCCCTACAAATTATTCGATTACAGAAAAAAAGATCCCACGTATGACGCATCAAGAAGAAACGTACTTGTTGCAACAAGCAAACAAGTCTGCTCTTAAATCCGCGCCTCCTGCGATCAGACGATTCTACCGCAAACTGGCTGTACGAAAATTAAAACGAGAATATAATTTACCGATACTAGATATCGATAATTTCGGATGTAAAAGAAAAATGCATGACGCGCCGTTAAAAGATAGGCAAACCGGTAGGGTTCTGGATAGGTTTTTCGGTGACGATTTAGGATCGTTCGAGCAGAGATTGCAGGGATACAACGAACCTACATCGGTGCACAGTCCCTACACGAACAGACTTTTAAAGCCGTTCATAAGGAGAGACGCTTCGTGCCGTCCCTTATGGTTGAAAGTAATGGGAGAGCTTTGTGCCAAAATTAATAAATCGAATCCTAAATGGAAACCGCCGGCCATAGCGCCGATCGATTATTGTTACGTGAGGCCGCAGCACATTCCGGCAATTAACAGCCTGTGCAGCCAGTTTTTCTGGCCTGGAATCGACCGTGAGTAAATATAATAATTACGCAATCATTCAATTAAGCTATTTTTGTAATCGGCAGATATAAAGACACGTTATCGATATTTTTTTTTCAGTGACAGAATGTCTGCAGTATCCCGATTTCAGCTGCGTAGTTCTCTACAAAAAGCTAGTGATAGGTTTCGCCATTCTAGTTCCTGACGTTGGTTACAACGAGGCTTACATATCGTTCTTTTTAACTCGTCCTGAGTGGCGGAGATCTGGTATAGGAACGTTCATGCTCTATCATTTAATTCAAACGTGTATGGGCAAAGATGTTACGTTGCACGTTTCGGCTACGAATCCCGCGTTAATTTTGTATCAGAAATTCGGTTTCAAAGTGGAAGAATTCGTTCAAGACTTCTACGATAAATATATGCCACCGAATTCGCGAGAATGTCGGCACGCGTTGTTTTTACGACTGAGCAGATAATTGCATTGAATGATACATTGGTCACGTGTAGCATGGGCGGAACATCGTCTCAATTAATTTGACTCTTTCAACAGGTTCCCCGATCCATTGTATATATCATATACGTATTTATATCCGACAATAAACCGTAAAACGTTATCGTTAAACGCGAAGAAATAAAAACAATTTTGTTAGAAGAAAAATTACATGAATCATTCTGTAATGAATTAATTCTGAGATCCAGATAAATATTTTGTTTATAGAAACCTCTCGATGATTTCTACACAGCGGGAGAGCAATCTCGATGTATTGCGTTTACTTTCGTTTCTATTCGAACGAATCTTTTAATTAGAAATTGCTCCGGTGATCGAGAATACGCAATGCTGAATTGTTGATAAATACGATAAGATAAAATAAGATACTTATTTCTATGTTATTTAATAGCTCTTCAATTTGCGTCCTTCGGCTATCCTTAAATTTTACGCACACGATGTATACTCCACGATAATTCTAGATATGTTTTAATCACGATCACCGGGTACGTAATTATCAATAGAACACTCAGCTACGTTCAGGCTGTAAGGAGGACCGATACTCGTTTAGTTTTACGCGTAGAATCGCATGGAACGAGCCACGTAAATTGTGAAGAATTCGGAGAAAATGTTGCCAACTCATTTAGGTACGATTAAATTAAAAACTGGATCGTGTCACATATTCGTTTCTCGTTGAGTGAACGTCACGTTTCGTTTCGCGCGCGCTTGACCGTTAGTTGGATTTTCGATCTGTAACACGGAGAGGGGGTTACAGACGTCACGGATAAGTGCTACGGAACTGCCGTCGACCCATTCTCGAAAGTTCCGGAAGCCACTAGAAGGAAAGTTTGTATATACGGACTGCGAAGCTTACGCGACACTTTAGTACGCGAACAGAGGTGTTAAGTGTTGTTTCGACGATTCTGTCAGAGACAGGCGTATCATTAATCTACATTGAATACAGTTTTTGAGGAGAAAACCTTTGTGAATCTAGTGCCAATCGGATTTTCGAATTTGTTGAAGCAATCGCGAGAATAGCGGTAAGTGCGTTTAAGAAACAGCGACTGATACTCCATAGGGGATCCTCTCGGCATTCTATCGAATGATCTTCAACGGAGAAATCGTTCGCGTATGTTCGTACGTTATAGACGGAATACTCTGTTCGTTGGATGTTAGAACAGCGATCGTGAAATTTATTTTTACGTCGCTCGAAATCGTTGCACGTTTGTTGGGAGCGGACACGATCTCTTATACGCGCTCATCATCATTGCCAGAAATAGATATTGGTGAGGATACGTACGTGGGTGTGCGTTAGAGACACATTCGCACTTCTTTCCGCGAGAATATGCGAAAAAAAATGGCAGATCATTGCTAATATCCGAGTGGTCTAACTTGCATCGCTCCACCTGTACCCCTCTATCATCGAACGCGGCGTGTCTCGCTATTCCACGTTTCTCCGAGCTCGATGCGAATGCGATCCAAAATAGTCACAGCGTCTTTGAATTTTTCTTACTTCTTTCTCATAATTAGCCAGCTCTCGATTGCATTGTAGAAGAAGTATAAATCGATATCCGATCTTTTAATGTGGCGTATTAATTATATGAAACGCAAAGTTAAAAGACTATTTCCTTATAGAGGTAGCGTCGTCGATCTCGTATGATCGTAATGAAGAAAGACGCGATCCCGATCCGACGTGTGTTGTTCAAACAAGGGATAAATAATATCTATCCACTGAGTCAGTTTGTAAAAGATGAACACAGTTCTTTGTATCGCGTGACGTCGAAGTCGTACTTGAAGCTTCATAGAGTCGCACTTTTATGGTCACGTTGCGTTAAACGTTCCCAAACAGTCGATTCAGGATGGGGCCTTCGAAAAACGAGTCTGTAATGATGTAATATTTCGCCTAAACTACGCGCTGAGACGTATAGTAACACAATCTCGAATACATAATAAGCACGATAAAGGATACATGTTCTGCACATCTAAATATACGCCGATCTTTAAAAAGACAATCGGATTTATTTTTTCGACGATATGTTATATTTTTTGTTATTTCGTCTGTTGCAGATCGGTAATCAATGGGGAAGGATTACTATAAAATTCTCGGCATAAACAGATCGGCGACGGATGACGAGATTAAAAAGGCCTACAGGAAGTTGGCTTTGAAGTATCATCCCGATAAAAACAGAAGCGCGGGAGCGGAGGAGAAGTTTAAGGAGATAGCGGAAGCTTACGAGGTGTTGTCCGATGCCAAAAAGAGGGAAGTCTATGACAAATTTGGGGAAGAAGGCCTGAAGGGAGGAGCTGGGTCGGCTGGAGGAGGAGGAGGCGGTGGCACCACGTACACTTTCCACGGAGATCCGAAAGCGACGTTTGCTCAATTCTTCGGTTCCGCCAGTCCTTTCCAAACGTTCTTCGAATTCGGTAACCCCGTGGGAAATCGGGTGTTCAGTTTCCACGAGGACGACATGGACATCGACGATCCCTTGGGTCTGGGTGCTGGTCCTCAACGTCCAGGTGGTCCGGGCGGAGCTTTCAGGTCACACTCGTTCAACTTTGTGGGAGCTAACTCTGGTCGAGGAGGAAACAAAGATCGCGCCCAGGATCCGGCGATAGAACACGATATGTATATTTCTCTGGAGGAGATCCTCCGTGGCTGTACGAAGAAGATGAAGATCTCGAGACGGGTCGTGCAACCCGATGGCACCATCAAGAAGGAGGACAAGGTTCTCACGATCAACGTGAAACCTGGATGGAAGGCTGGCACGAAGATCACTTTCCAAAAGGAGGGCGATCAAGGACGTGGGAAAGTCCCGGCGGACATCGTTTTCATCATCAGAGATAAACCGCATTCCCTCTTCAGGAGGGAGGGCAGCGACATAAGATACACTTGCAAGCTCAGTTTGAAACAGGCCTTGTGCGGCACCATCATCGAAGTTCCTACGCTCTCCGGCGAGAAGATCACTTTGAATTTGAATGAGGAAATTGTGAAACCGAATTTGGTGAAGAGGATTCAGGGTAGAGGCCTACCGTTCCCGAAAGAACCGTCAAGGAAGGGTGATCTCTTGGTCTCGTTCGATATAAAATTCCCCGACGTGTTATCGCAAAGTGCAAAGGACATACTTTATGATACTCTACCGAATTGAAGGCGCAAAATTGAACAAAAAAAAATAAGCAGAGCATGTATAATTGTCATCACAACGACAGTCCTCTAATCGTCCCAGTATGACGAGACTAAACACTCGTGTACGTTCTAGTACATAAACGCGTGGTTAGAGAGCTGTGAAAAAATATTTGTTAAGGCGAAGCAAATAATAATTTTATCTATTATCTAGGAAAATGTGATTTTTCCATTAGTCAGACTGCAAAACGAGAAAATCGGTTGTTTTTCATTTGAGTTTAAGCAAGCTTAATTTCTGTTGAAGTTCGGAATCTAACGAGAGAGAAAGAGAGTTGCTTTTCTATGATTGCGGGAGGAATGATTCTAACTAGAGATCAACACCGAATGTATTTGCATTAAGTTGTACGATTTAATAGGGAATAGGTCTGCGTGTGAATGTGATCTGAATAATTTTGTTTATTCTGTACATTTCGAGTGTCGTGTACCTGTGCGTATACAATGTATACATCCTGGGTGAATGAGTGCGTGTCTGTTTACATGCGTGTAGTAAATGCGTCTGACGCGTTCGATTCTGTTCCGAAAGTCTGACCGATAAATCTGCTAAAGTATGACAAATCGAGCCGCAATTATTTTGTTTTCATTCTTTTGTATTTCCATCGTTCCACTATCGATCCATTTGTCATTCATCTGTCCATTGCAATACGATACGATCCTCATTGCCCCTTTGCTTCAACTATACTGGACGTTTTGTCATATTAAAAGCAGAAGAGTGTAAAACATTATTTGTAATGTTTAGCAGATTGTTTTCTTATGTAACGCGTCCCCTTAATTTTAATGGTTGGTTAATTATTTGTACGCTAAAATAATACCGAATACTATTAAGCGACATACAGTTTTGTAGTTTTTATTCAATCCTTTTGTCTCACTGATCCGCTTCTACCATGGATGTAACGTTGGAGTACTCTTAAAATAGACTTCGAACAGGGTGACGTCATCGTCCTATCTCCCGGGACTTTCACGCACAACTGCGAGTCGAAACAGTACGATTTCTGTGTAAAAACGTGCACATGCTTTGTCGTTCATACACCGAGCGTGAATCGGATTTTTTACTTGGACAGACGAGTATAAAAAATAAAGGAAAACATAATAATTTGTATTAGCCGAATTGATGTTACGGCCAGAGAGCAGTCTCATCCGTTGGCTTTACCAAATCTACGTAATCTTTATCGATCCATTCGTCATCATCCAACGGGAACCCAATACCTTGTGAGAGGGAGGTCAGGAGCGGTAGCCCGTCGGTGCCCAAGCTGAAATACTTCATCATTTGCTTGTCCAGAGGAAACGTTTGAGCGCGAGCATTCTGAAGTACAAATTCTATAGTCTCCTCGAAACGAAAACTGTCTGGGAGACAGTGGTGTTGGCGACAAAAATAATTCCGTCCCTCCTCGGCGTGGCACCAGGTCCCATCTGGAAAGTATGGGTCAAGGCCAAGGTCGTTTAATTCGACGCGCGGCGTGTAATAAGACGCTATGTCTTTCCGCCGACAGAATATAGCGCAGGCCATCCATGGCCTTTCGGGCTCGTGCGGCGCCTGCAGGCCACCGCTCTTCCCGTCCAATTCTGGCAATCTCTTGCTGAACTCTGAGCACCTCAGCGCACTGTACTCGGCGATGCTTTTACGTTTCTTCTTGCATAGATGATCGTCTCTGCAGAGAACGACGTCGTACAGCCAGCCCAGGCATCCCTCCGGTTCTAGGCTGTTGCAAAATCGCTGCTTGGTTTGAACTCCGACAGAATTGACTAAGCATCCGCTTTTGCAAGCTCCCGTTTGCCACTCGCTCCACCCTCCTGGCTTGTTCGATCCAGGATAGCTCTGCAAAGCATTTCTGCATTCACCGCCGCGGCACTCTTTCCCTGGGGCGCAGTAGGTTCCATCCAAAGCAGGACCAGCGACGTAGAATCCGCTCCTATGCGGAGTTTTGCATTGTAAAGCTTCGCAGGAGTCGTGAAACGTAGCTACGTCCGCGTCCTTGTCGCGAAGGAACAGCTCGCACTGCCTTTTAGCGGTCCATTCTCTTCCTGGGAGATCGAAGAACCGAGTGTGATCCAATTGTTTATTCGTGGGACGACTTGATCTGTCTGAAAGACAGGGTTTTGTGTAGGACAACTTCTGCGCCAGATCGCGGCTGCATTCTGACCAAACAGTTTCACCATGGGTGCCCCTGGTAGGGGACATTATGTAGCCGTCCTTCGGGCATTTGTTACCCGTTGAATCGTGATGCATCCCTAAACTTGTTTCAAAATTAATTACGAACTATCGAGATATTCGCCCCCGTATCTTCGAGTCGTATCGAATACTTACTTGTGGCCGATTTCGTGAGCGGCTATATAAACGGAAGTGAAACCCGCGGACGGAAACGGTTTGCCGAATTGATTTGTAACGCCTAATTCGGTGATAATGCAGGAATATTGGTCGATGCACAGACCACCTACCACCGACAATCCCATAGTGGCACTTTTCTTTTGTCCGGCTTCCACCACGTAGAAGTCCAAACCGGAAACGTATAATCCTAAATCCCAATGATTCGGATCCTCATCAATCGTGTTCCTCTTCATTGCATACTTGCAAAACGAGTCCAACAATTTTCCACGTTCCCCTTCATAGTGCTCTAGATCACGAGGCTGTTTTTCCATGATCTCCAATCTAACTAAAGAAATATCAATCGCAATCCCTAAACTTGGATGATGATAAATTGCCTGCACTCCGTTTACGTAAGCCAACAGCATGTCACGAATTTCTTCATCGTTTTTATTGAAGAATGGCGAGAAGAGATTGTAGCCGGCCTCGTCGAAGAACAATGCTAATTCCAAATTCAGAGATCGATTCTCATTCCTTATCAGATAGTCCTGACTTTCTCCTATCAAGTTGTCGTTCAGTTCGGTGAAATAAGGTCGATCTTCTGGAAATGCGAAGCTCTTATAAGCCCTCTTGACCACATGAGGCTCACCTAATTTCTCCGAACGTCGTCTGACGTGATCGTCGAACAGCGAGATCTCCTCGCTCTGAAGAGGTGTAATTTCTAGCGTGGAGTTATCCAAAAAGATCAAACCGTGCTGTTGCGAGGAAGAACATATTTAACAATCCCTCCAACGATATTCAATTCCTTATACTGACCACTCCGCGTCCTCCGCAAAGGCTCATAGCCGCTGAACTCAAATCGTCCCTATGCAAATAGTGGCAGGAGTTCGAATTACTCAGTTCCGGTATCAATTCTAAGCCAGCTTTGTTGTGCTTCCAAACTTGAAAATGATCCGCTGTGATTCTATCATTTCTACGTAACGTCAGCTCAATGAACCGGTCGAAAGCTTTAAAACTTAAGGGCACCTGCAATTCACTAACTATAACAAAAGAATAATGATATACGAATAATTGAAAATGAAGGACTACCTCTACACTGTCCTTCGCGTTCCACAATGGTAATAAAACGATTTCGGTGTCCTGCGTGTACGCCAGACGGAACAAGAGCAGTAAAACAGTTTCTAACGTGAAATACATTGTTAGAAATGTCAAGTTCAAGTACGCGAGAGCACGGGAATTCGTTCTTTTATACGAGCGCTAGACCCGTATATCGTTTATCATTTGTAAAATGCACTTATAGATGAAGTGCATGCTGGCACCTGTATCGCAAGTGTCATTGACATTCAGATTTCAATGAGATTACATAACAACAATGCAGCTACTTTACGTTAATGCATAGAAAACGGAATCTGTAAATTGAATCAGTACATTCGGACGATCAATGTTAACTCCGTATTCTATACAATGATGATTACATGAAACTTCTACGAATGCGTGATTTTATTTTTCTAATCTATCGTCAATGGAACGATTAAGGATTTAATAAATTAAGATAAAAATGTGGTATATTTCAATGCATTGTTTGCTCGATGTACAAAACAGATACTGTATGAAATATAATCTGTTCAGGTAAGAACTTTGTACTTTGTTGCATTATATCTACAGATACTGTTTACATCTGCCTCCTTGGTTCTATAAAGTCGTATTACTGTTTATCCTATTTCCGTGTATATTATATACTTCAATAACCATTGCTCGCTCACGCAGCAAATCAATGAGTTATCCTAACAACAAACGTACCGGGGGGGTGTCCGTTCATTTACAACAAAAGTGTATTATTGCATAGGCGACGATTAACATAATCAGGCAACAGTGTAATAAATTTACTTTACGTTGATACACACTTTAAAATGTGTCTACTATCGACCTATGCTTGTAATGTTTAATCGCGGCGCCGTTGGGATCGAGAAATAATAAAAGTGATAAACGCTGCACAACATACGGTATTTTTCTTCGCTGTTCCATGACCTGATCATTTTTGTCAAACCGGCGAATGGAAGGTAGGAATGAAATAGAGAATATGTGTGCTTGTTACAAAAACCTTAGTATTAAAATATTTCAATAAAAACAATAAATAATAATTATGATCGTAATAAAATTAATAGAAGATTCGGCAGTGTATATAACAGCTAAACTTGGCAGGTGTCTCTACATCGTTATTTAATTATAACGTATTTATGTAGTATAAGGGAATTATTAAATAATTCGTTAACTAATTACAGTTCATATACGTCGAGCGATTGATTTCTTTGTCAATGCATCCTTCGTTCCCTTACATTCCTAGTCCGTGACAGTAACTTGGGCTTGTTTCTCTTTCTCTCTATCACTCTCTCTCTTTACAAACGTTCCGAACTATATTATGTACGACACAATGACTAAAAAATCCTTTATACAACGAGGGCGCGCATTGTTTTTGAAACAATGCGTCGAATTTTATTTACAAATTGAATTTCACTCGTCTACCAGCGATAGTTTTTGAATCTCGTCTAGAGAATCTGCTGGGAAATGATTTATTTTCGATTCTCCTGGAGAGGAATCGTTTTCTTTGGATCATATACATATATCGTTCCGCACATCTTCCAAATTACTAGATAAAATGGTGCCAAATAAAGAAGAAAAAAAGAGAATTTACCTTCGGGTCAGTGAAGTGTCTGTCTTCGCTGTCCGTCGCCATAAACGTTATGAGCGACAGTGAACACTTTGATAGCGTATCCCCCGTAAACGATCGAAGGACACATGGCCGCATATAAAATTTGCAGCGAATATTTGCTACGAACACACGTAGGTTTTGGTAGCTTATTTTCTTTCCTATTTCTTCGACTAATTACGTTCGCTACGCGTCTAGAATTTTCCATACAGCGTATCTCTCCATGCATCGTAGACGCTCCGATTTATACTAAACCGTTCACTCATCCCATTTCTTTCCCTCCAGGAAGGAATATAATCTCAATGGTATCAACACATGTTTACGAAAGCGAACACATTCTCGCCGCAAGTAATAGATCAAGACGACATGATTATTCTTCAAATGATTTTTGTCTTCGTTTACCAAAAGGTTTAGTAGCTGATAATATTAAAATGTCTATCACTGTGTAATAGCATTTTTTCTCAATACAAATGTGTGTATATACGGGTAATTATTAAATGTAACTACAATTTCGCAATACATTTGTTCACCTTTGTATTAAATAAATAAATACTATCGAGATAGTAAAACCGGAAAACGATCAGCTCGAACATTAATAATAAAAAAAAAAAGAACGAAAAAGAGACAATGTACACGTAACAATATTAATATGGAAACAATTAATAATTAGTTTCAACGTGAATAACAGAGGAAAAAAAAGAATATATGATGCATCCACCAACCTACTCAACTCCGATTAAATAGATATTGCTCCGACGGCCGTGAGGAGAAACGATAAATCGGGAAGCTTCTCAATACGTACTCGTTTTCAAAGGTAAGTATAAAAAATCGATTAAGATTGTTCGTCATTCGAAGGCCACTGTCCCGAATGATTCCAATCCCAATCCTTGCCTTTAGGACGAAACTTGCTGGTACTCCCGGAGTTGTTCCAATCTCGGTGAAAAAACTTCTTCTTAAAGTGATGCCGTTCCGGGTCCGGTTGACGTTGATACTTGAGAGGCACCGTGGATGAGGTACTACTGTTACTACCGTTGCTGTTCGTACTGCTACTGTTGGATGGATTCGGTGGACGAGGGCTGGTGGGTGAAGGTGTACGCGGAGGTCCCAGAGCTTCATCCGGCGACGGGATCACCGGCGGCGGCCCCGTCACAGCGCTATCCGATCCCAAACCGCTGTCGGGGCTCGTGTTCACTCCCTCTGTCGATCTTCTTCGCTTATCCAGCTCCGTGGACGCGAACGCGACCAATCTATCGAAGCCAGAACTGATACGGTCCTGCCAATCCGCCTCTCCGTCTGCAGCAACACGAATACCATTTAGTTGCTGTACCGTCTGTCCCTTATTGGACGGTACAACGTATGTATTTTCATAAAAATAAGCCAACAACCCTTCTTCTCGACATTAACATCGCTACTCTCTCCAATAATCTCAGTTGTGTACGTGTTAAATATTAGTGGAGTGAATTATATTGTATCGTAGTCACAAGAAGATGCATCTGGTAAAATTAATACAGGAAAATTGTTGAGGGAAGCGGGCAAATAGTATAGATCACAATTAAGGGATTTATACGGTACCTTGTAAAATCCATTTTCCTCTCCTAAATATTAAACTAAGGAAACGCTACGTCATTTCACCTTATCATGCAGAGAACGTGCACCGAAATTACAGAGACCCAATGAATAATTACACAATATTGTGCATTTGTTCAAGTCTGAGTTGTCAATCGCGAGACTATCGACGATCTGAGTCTGGCTTATTTTCATGGAAATTATTTCCTGCGTTTATTGTACTGGCGATTAAGATGCTGAGAGAAGAATCTAATCTAAATCTGTTCTACCATGTATGGCTGTGATAAAAAGAAAAGAGAATTTTGAACAACCCCTGTGGGATAACTCACCAGCAACCACGAACCAAACCCACAGGCAGCCGTAACTTTCATTTCTCTCCCTCCCTCTGAACGTGTCTCAATCTCTAATAAAACAAGCTTCGAGGGGTTGCGAGTGAGATTGAGTATGTGACAGACAGATCTAACCGACAAACAGCTACAGTGCATCTAACAAATACAGCAAACAATAACAAAAAATAAATATAAATAAAGATTAAAGTACCAGCTCCGTAAGATAAGGTGAACCATAAACGATGGAATCTTAAAGATCGTTAGTGCGCAAAAATGAAACTAATAAGAGATGCATAGGCGGAAAACTAATACGACAACGGCGTTTTAAGAAGAGGATGAAGCAAAGTGTGTTTAGTATATAAAACGATATTTACTGAGTTAAATAAATCGCACACCTCTCGTGTACATTAAGGATGTATTGGCTATGCAGTCAATCCCAAAAGTTTATGTATCTTAAAAAAACGCATTTCCTATAATTAAAAATAGTGCATTCTTCTTCTAATTTCGATATTTAACCCCTTGGAAAAATCTCGGAAAAATGAAAAATTTTTTTTTTCTGAAAATATAGAAAAATGCTTCAAATACAAGTTGTTTTTCGTCTAACTTCGATATTTAACGAGTTAACTATGATTAATTGTCATTTTTTTGACGTTGACAAAATCCGACCATCCCAGCGTCGAAAAGGCGAACTTTTGGAAAAAAAAGTTTCGTTTTTCCTCAATAACTCCTAAACCATTGGTTCTACGGGAAAATTGTATATGACCTTTCTTGTCGAGGACGACGAGATCTACAGTTCCTGTATAAAAGTTTGTCGCTAGCATTAATAGTTTACGAGTTATTTGCAAAAAACGAAAAAACAGTTTTTTGCAAATTACTCGTTAACTATTGATGCTAGCAAGAAACTTTTATATAGAAATTGTAGATCTCGTCGAACTCTACAAAATGGTCCTATAAATGTCCCCCTAAGTCCGCCCGTTTAGAAGTTATGGGCAAAAAACGAAAATTTCGCGAAATCTGAAAGGGTACCCCTTGACA